TCCTGGACACCTGCTCCCCCAAATAAAAAAAAATTTGGATACACAGGGGCTCTATTACAGGAGCTAAAACTAACTCTCACACTGGGTATTTCCCCCTCATCTTCAAGGCTTCCATCCAGTAGCCTTGGAAAGGGCTCCTCATTAGGAGCTAGGTGGCCCCTCTTATTCTCTACCTGTTTGGTGTGAAACCTAAAACCCAAACCCTACTGTACTTCTCTCTCCACCCTACTCCTTACATTTGGCTTAGATCCCTTTGTTCCTGCCATCAGGTAAATCATCTGAAATGAGATATTGCCAATGAGGCCTGAAACTTCTTCTTAAACTATCTTCCTCACTCAAATGCAAAATGGTAAAGCAGGGAGGGTGGGGGAGTGTTGCAGGAGGTAGTGATAAATGATCAAAGGGACTTTCTGGGGTTTGTGCTGACTGTGTGCTTATTCCATCAGGTGTGTGACTCAGACACAGTTCTGGATCCAGCATGTACTGTGGAGATGCTTCAAGTTCTGGAGGAGGACCCCCAAGTGGGTGGAGTCGGGGGAGATGTCCAAGTAAGACATATTTAGGGATTTCCCAGGGGTGCCCTATTGGCATATTTCTTATTTTTGATGTGGCCAGAGTAAAGCGCTGGGCTTGGGGTGGGGAGAACATAGTTTTCCACCCTTCTTCTTTTGTGTGGCTAACTTGGGTAGCTTTGGAGAGAAGAAAATGGGATTTGAAAGCTGTGGATATAGAAGACTTAGATTCCAGTGGGGAAAATTTGGACCACTTGACAATCAGGTCTTCCCAGGAGAAAGTCAGCCACCATGTTTTAAGATGGGAATCTCTCGTCTTTGAGCAACTCTTTAAAAACCTCAGACGTTCCCTTTCAGGGATTCCTTTGGGGACTAAAGAACTCTTAGGGATCCACCATTCAGTTAATGACATTAGGGGTCCAGATTCTCTGTAAGAGGTACTACTTGTAGGGGTCATCTAGGTGGCGCAGTGGATAGAGCACCAGCCCTGGAGTCAGGAGGACCCGAGTTCAAATGTGACCTCAGACACATAATACTTCCTAGCTGTGTGACTCTGGGCAAGTCACTTAACCCCAATTGCCTCACTTAAAAAAACAAAAAAAGGGGTACTGCTTGTAGGGAAAAACCAAGAGAAGCTTCTTGGGCTGGATAGTAGAGGTCTATTGCTCAGTAAGCATTTATTAAGCACCTATCACTTGTCAAGTACTGTACTTGAGTTAATGAAAGACAAAAGACAATCCTTGTTCTCTGGGAGCTCAAAGTCTAATAGGGGAGATGGTATGTAAACCACTATGTACAAATAAGATATATGCAGGTTAAATGGGAGATGCTCTGATAGAGGGAAGGCACTAGCATTAAGGGTGATCAGAAAAGGCTTCCTGCAGAAAGTAGGATTTTAGAGGGAACTTGAAGGAAGCTAGGGAAGCAAAGTGGCAGAGATGAGGAGGGAGAGCATTCTAGGCACGAGGAACAATCTACTCTTTCTTCGCCAGTCTGTTATGGTATCACTTGCTATCTCCTCATAACATAAGGTGCTGGCTTTTATCATTTGATAATATAAAAACAAAATCTGAAGTTAGTAAACAGAATGGCAAACTGCAGTGTGGAGTTGGAACTGGGTGCCTAGGAAATTCAGATTTGGCTTGGTTATTTCTTGCCACCCTCAAATATTTTTTCACTAGCCAGTCCAGAACTAGAACCTGGAAAATTTCCTTGGGAACCAGAGTAGCCCTTAAACACCGTCTCCCTTATTCCCTATGCTGTTCTATGTGGCAGAAAGACCTAGAGATGCTTTGGATTAGAAAACCCGTGAATTCCAGAAGATCCAAGACATTTTTGTTTGTCGTCTCTAGTTGGTAGAGAAATGGACAATGTGTTGAATGAAGCTAACAAGACTTCTCTTGTTCCTTTTTAGATCCTCAACAAATATGACTCCTGGATCTCCTTCTTGAGTAGTGTGAGGTACTGGATGGCCTTTAATGTGGAAAGAGCCTGCCAGTCCTATTTTGGGTGTGTTCAGTGCATAAGTGGGCCCTTAGGCATGTACCGGAACACCCTTCTTCAGCAGTTCCTAGAAGATTGGTACCACCAGAAATTTCTGGGCAGCAAGTGTAGCTTTGGGGATGACCGGCACCTTACCAATCGAGTTTTGAGCCTTGGCTACCAGACTAAGTACACTGCACGCTCAAAGTGCCTCACAGAGACCCCCACAAAGTACCTACGTTGGCTCAACCAACAGACGCGATGGAGCAAGTCTTACTTCCGGGAGTGGCTCTACAATTCCCTGTGGTTCCATAAGCACCACCTCTGGATGACCTATGAGTCTGTGGTGACAGGTTTCTTTCCCTTCTTTCTTATTGCTACCGTCATCCAGTTGTTCTATCGGGGCCGGGTCTGGAACATCCTCCTCTTCTTGCTAACAGTGCAGCTTGTGGGCATCATCAAGGCTACGTATGCCTGTTTCCTTCGGGGCAATGCAGAAATGATATTCATGTCCCTTTACTCACTCCTTTACATGTCCAGCCTTCTGCCAGCCAAGATCTTTGCCATTGCCACCATCAACAAGTCTGGGTGGGGTACTTCAGGCCGAAAAACCATTGTTGTGAACTTTATCGGCCTCATCCCTGTGTCCATTTGGGTAGCAGTCCTTCTGGGAGGGTTGGCCTACACAGCTTATTGCCAGGACCTTTTCAGTGAGACAGAGCTGGCCTTCCTAGTGTCTGGGGCCATCTTATATGCCTGTTATTGGGTAGCTCTCCTTATGCTGTATTTGGCCATCATTGCCCGACGTTGTGGAAGAAAGCCTGAGCAATACAGCTTGGCATTTGCTGAGGTGTGACCAGCAAGGGCAGCTCTTTGAGCAATGTGGGAAAAGTGCAATGGGCCAGGGAGGGGAAGGGGTAAACTTGACTCCTACCAGTTTGAGAAAAGGAAATGGGGCGGGCGGGTGGGAGGGAGTGCTGTGTCCTTGTTTTCTTAACTGTTGTCCAAAGGACAAGTTTCAGTGCAAAGGAGTTTGACCTGCAGTGTGGCATGGAACAACCATCCCATTACACAGACCATGGATTCAAATGAAACGGTCACCAGATTCCTCGGACCACGAGGCTTGTAGCCATGTTTCTAGGCTTCCTGCTTCGGCATGCTGACAATGGACTCTGGAGATTGTTTCCTTTCCCTGACCCCTAGGAGTAATCCAAAGCCAAGTATGCTATGCACATTTGAGGGTGGCCTCCATTTAGTGGCACCTTCTTGGTGAGCTAGCCCTGCCTAAAAGGAAACCAGTCATGGGTGAATGGAAGAGCTGGGTCAGCTCCACTTATACTTCCAATTTCCAGATCTATTAAGACTGTCCTGAGGAAGCAGGCTGGCCTCTGGGCATCAGGGAACAGGGTCTAAGGTTGGTGCTTTACTTTGAAGACCCTTCTGTGTTCCTGAACATCCAGGAAGTGAACCAAACCAGCAGGGATTAAAAGCTTCCGGTAGCAGTTAAAGGTGAATTTATACCAAGGGGTAGGTACGCATGTAAATCACCTGTTTTTAATATGCTACAGGCCATAGTGAATTTTAGGAATGTAATGGATGTCATAATTAAGTTGGAGTTCTAGATTAGGGCTGGTCCAACTTTAGTCTTCTTATATAAACCTGGCCCACTGCTGTTTTTTCATGTCAGAGTCACTGCTAGCTCTTATCAGCTGGTTTGTTTTGGCCAGTAACCAAACAAACCTGGAAAGGAACTGGGGATTTAGGCACTTCAACTATCTTTACTCAAGGCCGGAGATGAATTTCGAGACTACAACTTCCATTCTGTGCTTTTTCTAAGTGCAAGAAGTTCAGAAATTACATCATTTAAAGCTTAGGATTCATGGTCATCTAGGTCCACGGGGTTCACAACTTTCTTACTGAACAACCACTTCTCTATCTTCTTCAGCACTGTTGCCAGTGTTCTCAAGTTGCGAATGACTCTACCCAAGACAGGTAGTTAAGTCTTTGGAGTGACTAGGGACAGGTCAATGATATTTATGAAGCTGCTTAGACTTAAATTTCAGGTTGACTCCAACAAGCTGTTGCTTATTATATGAACTCCAACCTCTTGCCCTCCACAGCCCGTTGTCTAGATTCTATAATCAATTGACTATAGTTTATAGGTGCAATTCTTGTCTTAGTTGTCTCTTATACCCCTAATAGTGGGCTTCTCCATCCTACTCCCCCAGGTATTTTTTTTTGTTTTCAGCTTTCTCATAGCTAAGTTTCAAATTTTTCAGCTTTATATTTGCTTATTTCCAGGCAACACAAAACTAGGAAATGGGGTGTTTCCAGTTCCTAAAGTTCTTGTCTCATCTCTTGCTACATCTCCTTGGCTAAATCACCATCAGTTAGTTGTCTTATTCTCAATTCTTGGGTTCAACACAGACATTTAACTCGTCTCTGACTTGAGTGTCCATGGTAGTGTTGCTGACCTTACTCTTCACTACTGAGCCAGTACTAACAACTGAAAGGCAAATGATTAGGAAAAAGCCTCTAGAATACGTGCTGCTTTCTGTAAGGGAATGAAATGTGCTCCAAATGGCAACTGGGTCAAATTATGGTGCTTTTCTGTTCAGATGGGTTTGTGTCTTCTGGATGCTGCCAGCAATTGCTGCATCACAGAGACCTGTACTTTTGGCAGGCACTGCTAACATCAGGCCAGACCATCAAGGATGAGGAAGAGGTCAGAGACAATGGCTATAGTTCCTTCTGAGCTTTTGCTGGCTAAGGAGCAAACTATTTTGAGCTAAATAAGAAAGGAAATCTAGCCAGCCAACGCAAGGTTCAGACTTAAAACTAAGGGCGGGCTTACTTTTCTCAATTTTACTTAAAGATGGTTAAAAAAGGAACAGGTCTTCCCTAGCTGTCCTACCAAGAGAGTTCTCTAATCCTGCTACTGTTACCAGACTTCAGATAGAAAACGAGCAGAAGCAGATAAGTGGGCTCACAACTTTCAACCTCAACTGGTTTTTATAAGTTATTTTTTATATTTTCTGTAAAACACACAAAACAAAACATCTTCTGCTTTATCCCTATTTCATGCAAGGGAAGAGACTTTATATTAATGAAAACATTTCGTTTTTCTCTCAAATCCCATTTTAATGAGGAATTTAGGGTTTTTCTGATCTTTTATATTTACTTATTTCTACAATGATTTGTAAATGTATTTATTTTTTACCTGCATTTTTTTCACTTTTCAGAAAGGTCAAAATTTTTATACTATGATGTATTTGTCAAAATAAAAAAAAATTTGCACACTAGAACACCAGTCTTGTTGTTTCTCAGAGGCTCTCATTACTCTTGTTATTCAAAGTGAAAACTTAGGTGTCTACCAGGGAGCCCCAAACCTGGAAATTGACAGAGGGGGCTACAAGACACAGGTATGCCATGTAATATACAATTTATGACTGTGATCTCTTGCAAAGCAGTTTCCCAAGCGTAAAAGGTTCACTCTGCTTGATACTGGCTGAGTCTTTAAGTGAACAAGAACTAAAATTCAACTTCCATTGCTCTCTAGTTTATTTGCCATCCAACCACTTTCCCAGATAATTTCCAACAGAAACTCAGTCAATTTAAGTGACAAAACTGCCAAAGGTGATTGTGCATTTAGCTCAGGACAATATTAAAGATGTTATGTACAAGTGAGACCTAATCAGGTTGTAATGTGGGTCAAAATCCTTGACGAATTTATCAGGCAGATGAGTAAGAAAGCTCCAGCTGTGAACACAAAGTTAAGCTTTCTTATTCCTGCACCAAAAGCAACTAGACAAGCTACACAGAAGAGAATGTAGGCTCATGGCCAACTTCAGCTAAAACAATTAAAACTCATGGGTGAGGTTCCTTCCCCCTAGGCCAGGTAACAAAATGGGCTCAAAATCAACAACCTCCATCCCATTTATTAAAGAAACAGTAAGAAATGATATATTGTAGAATGAAACACCAACAATGCCTTCATACCAGGCTGAAAAACAGTGATTATTACCCTCCCCCTCCCCTTTACCTCCCATCCCCACCCCCACCCCCAGGTCCCAGAGCCAACATCAATTCAAAATCTTGAGGTTCTTTGATTGGGAGTAACAGTAGCAAGAAGGGCAGGTGAGAAGCTGCTTCACAACTCTGGCCTCCTGTGAATTCCAGAGATGGCCAATGTCCAGTTTGTGGCATAAAGAAACAAGCTTTACTTAGAACTGAAAAGGATTATCCAGTCAGAGCTGCTCTATACAGAGTTACTGAGTAATGTTTGAACTGGAACACAATTAACAAAAGCAGCTACCTGGGTTTCTCTGGTAGGGAAGATGGTAGTACAGAATGAGCTGGGACCGGCAGGCCTATGCATCCCTGAGGAAAAGTCCAGGTGAACAATCCAAGAAATGAGTAAGAAAGAGAGAAGGAACTCAGCACAAAGCAGTGAGAAAGCACCACAGGCTACAGGTCACTGGGAGTCTTTCTCCCCATCCTTAGGGCTGAGCTTGCCTGCCAGAGTTCTTGTCTCACAAGCCAAGCGAAGACTCCATCTTCATTGGAGGAATAAGCCGTGGAAAGAAATGGCCATCAAGTCAAGCCTCCCTGTGGCCTTCAGGACACAGCTCTCTCCATCTTCCCCAGAGCCACGGTGCCTTGCAGCCAATGTAGCCTAGGCGAAAAGGGGGTGGTCTCTAGGGTGGCAGCATTCCATTTGAGTACATTGCAGCCAATGGGCCTCCTGGTCTAGGAAAAGTTGGGCCGGGGCCGGAAAGGCTTCCACTCCTAGGAAACGGTACCACAGTCTTTAATATGGGGCCATTGACCCTAGGAAAAGATGGGTTTATACCCAGAGGACCAGATGGCCTTGGAAAAGGAGCTGGGTTTATGCCTGGGGCACTTGCTGGTGTGGGACCTAGTGAACCAGCAGCAGACCTGGGGAAAGGAACTTGACTAGGGCCTAGTGGGCCAGTAGATCTTGGGAAAGTAGCTGGACTTGGGCCTTGCAGTCCAGCTGATCTTGGGAAGTTAGCGGGGTTTGGGCCCAGGGGGCCAGATGACCTTGGAAAAATTGCTGTACTGGATGCCTGAAGACCAGTGGAACGTGGAAAGGTAGGTGGATTTGAACTGGTAGACTGGGAAAATGTAGCTGGGTTCAAGCCTGCAGGATTTGTTCCCCTTGGAAAGGGAGTTGAGTTTACACCTAAGGGGCCAGTTGGCCTTGAGAAAGGAGCTGAATTAGGACCTAAGGGGCCAGTAGCCCTTGGCATAGGAGAGCAATTTGGACCTGGAAGGCCAACTATCCTAGAACCAGGACCTGAGTTTGGGCCCATAGGACCTGTTGCCCTTGTCATGGAAGATGGATTTGGACCCATATTTCCAGATGACTGTGAGAAAGGGGCTGAATTTGCTCCAAGGAGGCCAGCTGCCCTTAAAATGGGAGCAAGATCCATACCTACAGATCCAGATGCTCTCAAATCAAGACCAGCAGCTCTCAAATTGGGACCAGCTCCTGATCCCAAGAGACCACCTGCCCTGGGATCCAGATTAGGGCCCTGGCCTGTTCCCAGGCCTACTCTTGGGTTAAGACCAGGGCCTGGTCCCGGGGCACCTGCTCTTGGGTTAGGACCAGGACCAGGACCTGTACCCGTGCCTAGACCACTAACTCTAGAGTTAGGACCAAGGCCTGTGCCCAGAAATCCACTTGCCCTGGGATCAGGGACATGCCCTGTGTTTGAGAGACCACCGGTTCTTAGGTTAATACCTGGGCCTTGCCCTGTATTCAGGCTGCCTGCACCTAGACCGCCTGCACCTAAGCCACCTGCGCCAAGGCTGCTGGTGCCAATGCCACCTGAGCTCAGGCCACCTGTACCAAGGCTGCCTGCACCCAGGCCGCTCGAGCCCAGGCCGCCCGCGCCCAGGCCCCCTGCGCCGAGGCCACCTGCTGCCAGGCCGCCCGCGCCCAGGCCACCTGCTGCCAGGCCGCCCGCGCCCAGGCCACCTGCTGCCAGGCCGCCCGCGCCCAGGCCACCTGAGCCCAGGCCGCCCGCGCCCAGGCCACCTGAGCCCAGGCCGCCCGAGCCCAGGCCACCAGCGCCCAGGCCGCCTGCGCCCAAACCACCTGCACCTAGGCCGCCTGCGCCTAGGCCACCTGCACCTAGGCCGCTTGTGCCCAAACCGCCTGCACTCAGGCCACCCATTCTAGAATTGGGACCAGGGCCAGTAGTACCCAAGAACCCACTTCCTCTGGGGTCAGGACCAGAGCCTGTGCCCATAACGCCACCTGTCCTTAGGTTCGGACCAAGACCTGTGCCTAGTGAACCTCCTGTTCTTAGGTCAGGACCAGGACCTGAGCCCAGACTACCTGCTCTGGGGTCAAGACCTGCACCCAGAAGACCACTTGCCCTTGGGTTAGACATAGGACCTGTGTTGGGGAGCCCCCCTGGCCTAGGGTTAGACATAGGACCTGTGTTGGGGAGCCCCCCTGGCCTAGGGTTAGACAGAGGGCCCGTGTTGGGGAGCCCCCCTGGCCTAGGGTTAGACATAGGACCTGTGTTGGGAAGCCCCCCTGGCCTAGGGTTAGACATAGGACCCGTGTTGGGGAGCCCCCCTGGCCTAGGGTTAGATATAGGACCCGTGCTGGGGAGCCCCCCTGGCCTAGGGTTAGACATAGGACCTGTGTTGGGGAGCCCCCCTGGCCCAGGGTTAGGCATAGGACCCGTGTTGGTGAGCCCACCTGGCCTAGGGTTAGACATAGGACCTGTACCAGGGGCAATACCGGCTCTAGGGTTTAGACCTGAGCCAAGTGGGCCTCCTGACCTTGGGAAAGGAACTGAGCTTGTGCTTGGAGGATTCATCCCCCTTGGAAAAGGAACCACATTTGAGTCACGGGCACCAGCTGGGAAGGAAGGCGGACATGAGGCCAATGAGCCAGATGGCTTTGGGAAAGGAGCTGGATTTCTGGCAAGGGGGCCAGCTGGGAATCGAGTCAGATTTCCACCAAGAACACTGGCTAAAAGAAAAGGATCAGGGTTTACCCCCATTGCGTTGCCTGCATTCAAAACAGGAGCCATCGGTGAACCAAGGGAACCGTCTATCCGTCCTCGGGGTGGGAATGGGGCACGAGTCCAGGGAGTTGGCCGCTCTCTAGAAAAAATCCTTGGCTCTTTCATACTTTCTTGGGAACGTTGGTGATAATGGGTTTCGGGCGGGTTTTGAAGAGAATCTTGTTCTTTATTAGCGCCTTTGCTAGGTACCGAGTTGCTGTCTGTCTGCCACTTTCATCACATTCCTGTTCCCCAGAACCACTTTTTACCAGGACAGCAAATGGCTTCTCCAATCGGATAATTTTCCCATATAGGATATGATGCCCCACAATCAGCACAGGAATTCCCTTTAAGGAAAAACAAAAACAAAAAGATACCTGAGGTTCAGGGAAAGATAAAACTCAGGCATCCCCAGCAACTTGTTCAGGTCCTTTGCCTTACTCTTTGGCATTTCTCACTGCATCAGCACTGAGATGCTACATTTGCTAACCCTCCCCCTGCACAATTCCCAGTCACAAAGAAAAATACATTTTCCATATTTAGAAATACAACCTCTCCAGTTACCCCAAAGTAAAACTTCTCTGATGCTTCAGAGGTAGGGGAGGAGCATGACTGGATTCCTGAGGACATTAGCCAGACCTCACATGACAAACCTTAGGGCAGTCCCCACTCTGGGTTTTGGGAGGGCCACCTTACTGTGGCTTGTTTTTCTGAGGCGTTAGGCAGGGTAAGGAAAGCCCCCTCACCTCGGTGGTGTAATGTAGGTCTCCCAGGAGGTTTCCAGCTAATCCAGTGCTGTAGCGAGCCTCGATCTCCCCCTGTAGCTCCATCAGCACCCATTCTGCCAAGCCTCCAGCCCCAGCACTGCAAGCAAAGGGCTGGTGGTTACAATATTTTTGAGGGGTGAAGGATGGGCAGTATGCCACCCATAAAAGGCTCAGCCCTTCTTTTTTAATCAAAAGTTTATTGGGAAGTGGGTAGTGTTAGGCACTGAACTAAAGGTTGAAATGCAAGGATCTGCGCAGATGCACTCTGGGATCTTAGCTCAAACCTATCCAACCCCGACTATTCACCCTACAATGACAAAAGTATCAACACGGATTCACTCACCTGGAAATCACAATTTGCACCATCAGCTTTTTCTTTCAGAAAAGCAAACTGAAGAAAAGCTGAGAAGAGAAAGAAAAAATTCACATAAGAATGGTCTGATACTTTCTTCTTTGCTCAATAGGAAGAACTTTTTTCAATAACTTCAAGATTGCTTTTGCCAGGGGACACAATGTTAATTTCATTAATTTCCCTCTCCTGCCCAACCACTACAGATCATTTTGAGACACAAACAGTCTCCAGCAAAAGCTAAGGCAGTAAAATGTCTTTTTAACATTCAGGCAAATCTAAAGTCCATATCATTTCCCACAGACAAGAGAAACCAGATGTACTGTACTAAGAGTTGTCTTATACAACAGTGTCATCTTGTGGCAAATTCGTGTACTGTTCAAAAGAAAGTTTAAAGGAAAATGAGAATAAACTACATATTTTCAAATGGGTGTCCTGATCATCACACATGGGGGACTCATTTGCCTACTAGGTTTGATTTTTGGGGGATTAAAAAAAAACCCAGGGACAGCTAGGTGGCACAGTGGATAGAGCACCGGCCCTGAAGTCAAGAGGACCTGAGTTCAAATCTGACCTCAAATCAAACACCTGACACTTACTAGCTGTGTGACCCTGGGCAAGTCACTTAACTCCAACTGCCCAAAAAACAAACAAACCAAAAAAAACCCAAACAAAACCTTTTAAGCATCAACTTCTAAGATCTTAACATCTGTTTACAGAACTAATGAGAAAGTATACAAAATTCAACAACTCATGAAATTTCATAAGATTTCAAATTACAAACATGAGGAGAGAGAGAGAGTACTATGAAAATGAATTATCAAGGGCAGACAATGAATACAAATAAGAGTCAGGCAAAAGTACAATGGGGAAAAAATAATTAACGCCACATGGTTTGTAACCACCCTGTAAAACAACCAGTAGTATAAGCATTATCTTCTTATACATTAGAAAACAGAGGCTGAGAGGACAAATGGTTTACTCCTGGTAAAACAATTATTATTGTTCATATTCAAACCCAGGTCTCTGGAATCCAAGTCCATCTTTCTTTTCACTACAACACTTTAGAGAATCAGATTGGGACTTCAACTAAAACTAGAGTTTCTGAGGAATAAGATATAATTCAACCCAGGAAACCATGAGGCAATAAATCAGTAGGATTAGATTCTAAAGGAATTAAAAGGTAAGAAAATAGCAATAATGACAGTCCTAAAAAAACTTTCTGGGTTTGAAAAGCAATTCATTATTTCCACGGAAACACCCCACATCTACAAATTAGAGAATTTTAACTCTCTAAAGGAAAACAAATATGTGGAAATGGGAAAAATTTAGTCACAAATTAAAAGCAGACTAAATAGCCAGAAAGCCTAAATGTAAAATACGTGGGGGGGGGGAAGGTGTCCTAAAATTTCTGGACTAATCAAGGTCTATATTTAGGAGACAGTTAATAGCTAACATTTATATAGCATGTGCTGTCTGCAAAGAGCTTTACAAACGTCATGTCATTTGATCTTCACAACCACCCTGGGTGGCAGCTGCTAATACTGTCCCCGTTTTACAAATGAGAAAATTGAGGCAGAAGTTAAACGACTCACCCAGGGTCACAGTGTTTGAAGCTGAATTTGAACTCTGCTTTTCCTCACTCTAAATCTAGCCCTCTATCCACCCCACCCCCCAGCTGCTAATAACTTTATGACTGATGGTGTGATTTTTTTTTTAACCTAAATGAGTGTAAGTCATAGCATAAGAAAGCACAGATGGCTGCAGAGAAGCCATCAGTGGGTAAAGCAAAAGAACTTTCTCTTAACATTCTACTGAGCTTTTTCAATTCAAAAAGCAGCAGCTCCATGTCCCAGATTTCCGGTATGGTACTTATTTCAAAGTTGACTGCCTGACAATGATGAAAAAGTCTTTGTGAGACCATGTCACAAAATGTGGGGTTCAGAATATACGGTTATCAGCAACTCTAGGAATCAACAGTATCCTAATGGAATAAAAATCAGTCCCTGATGGTCAAACGTGCATATTTAAGAAGATTATGGGCAGAAGATTATTTAAGATACAGTGTGCTACCCTACAGGAAAACTGAAGGGGAAGGGGATGGGGGGGGAGAGATAGAAGGAAGGGCAGATTAGGAGAAGAGGTATTCAGAATGCGTGCCATCTTGGGGTGGGGGTGAGGGATGAGATGGGGAGAAAATTTGGAACTCAAAATCTTGTGGAAGTGAATGTTGAAAACTAAAAAATAATTTAAAAAAATAAAAGATACAGTGTGCACCACACCTTATGCTGCCACTTGCTGCCCCCTACCCCCAGCTTCTTGGAAAAGAACAGCAATCCAGGAAGAATAATTCATAACAATTGCTTATCAGGGTAGATGTTGTGGATTTCCTCAGTAGTTAATGAATCAGGGTGAGGGGTAGACAAGAACTTCAAATTATTGGCTAGCAACTATAAATAACTTCACTTAGACTAGCACACAGAAATAATCCAAGCTTCTGTTTTGAAAGGTTAACTTCATGTCACATTTTGTATTCAAAAGAAAGCAAAAGGAATCATAGGATTTAGGGCCAGAAAAGAGCATTTTTGATGAGCCTCTCATTTCAGAGATTATCTAAGCAATCTCTTCCTTGTACAGATGAGGAACCCAAGTAGTACACTGCAGCACTTAAACATACTGAGATTTCAGCGCTTGATTCCATAACTTGGTTCAGCCCTTACTATCTTGCAACTTGGAAGACAAGTGGTATTGAGATGGGTACATTCTGACACAAACTTCAAAGTCCCTATTCTCTATCTACCACTGTCACAGAAGGATGTCTGAAATGGACCTATCTTCTTGGCACCTGCTCCAGCAAAATTAATACTACTAAAAGCTTCAACTCAGCTTGGGCATTCCAGTACCTGTCAGTGTCAGCTAGTCTAGAACAGGTCACAAGCATTACTTCGTACCAAGCCTGATTTGGGAGTATTTCTGTGCATATGGTCTATTCCCCAGAATAACAGGACATATAATTTAGTTAGCTGGCAAAGAAATATTCTAAGATTCTCCCCCAGAATACAGAAATCTCCTGTTATCATAAAACCGTATGTTATCTATTCCCTTCTTTGCTTCTTGATATCTACTGTTACTTCAGGTACCTAAATATTTTACTCTTTAGGGTCTGGGTGGGCCCAAAGCTCACCGTGTCTAGCGTTTGGGCTAAGATGAGGGGAGGGCTAAAGAACAGAAGGGGGCCAATTTGTGCCTCTAGAAAGTAGGGTTAAGGGGAAATGTAATATTAAGGCATATCTGCTGCTAAAGAAAAAGGCACAAAGAATACAGTACAGGTCAAATCTTGTTAAAACAAACAGCATTCACAATGGAAACTCGGACAAAAAGATGTCGAAGCCCCGTATTTCAAACATCATTCAGTCTGGGAAAATTAACTGAGACTGGCCTTTGAAACTCATAAAATTTGATCTATACAGAAATGTATGTGAGATAGCAGCCAGATGACAATATTTCACAGGTAGACTCTGATGCATTAATTATACAGGTCCATTAAATTATGCAGTTGAATTAAAAGTGGGTCAATGGAAATGCTCCTCAAATCAGTTTTTCCCTACAAGTCAACTAGGAAGCATAGATCTTACGTCATTAGAAGTAGCAATTCAGTTTTGATAAAACTATGACTTAAGTTTTAGACCCTGAACCATCCATAAAAACATTCAAACACACATAAGTAATCCAGCCCTAGGGAGATGAAACGTGTATTGAACAATATAAGGCAGTTGAAAAAAAACTGCTATTTTTTTAAAAAGGAAAAAAAAAGGCTTTAGGGTATGAATTCATACTTTGGGAAACATGTTTTTCATTTCTCTGTAACTATTTCCTTTTGATATTTAAAATTTCGACATTCTCATGTTATTCATTCATTGACCATTTATTGAGTACCTAAGGCACCACAGAGGAGACAAGATATTAGGTTAGATGGGGACAAAAAAAATCTTCAAGAATGTGGCTTTAAGGAATTAATGTCCAAGTAAAATTAATCGATTTGCACAAGGACATCAAAGCAGTTACTGTATTTTTCAGTTGGCCAGGGAAAAAATCCTATATGATATTTTATATAACTATGTGAATCTGAATACATGCTATCACTTCAGGAGATTCACTCTTTGCAACTATCAGGACCTAGCTGTATTTGTCTTTCCTGGTTGCTAAAATACTGAACCCTTCTTTGTACATTAAATCCTGGAAAACTGTATATTCCATTTGAAAAACCTCAGGAAGCTGTCATAGAAAATGGTTCCAGAAATTAAAGAATTCAATCTAAAATGCATGTTTTTCTTAGGAAAAGGTAGACTTAAATAATGAATACACTAGGGGCCCAGTTTATCAGTTAGCTTTGATTTTAGGGAAGTCCTTTAATCTCTCTAAACTCCAGATTCCTAATTTTTAAAAAGAGAACACTAAAAACTAAAATGAAATTCACATCAATGAGTTCATCAGGAATAACTTAACAGGCACTTAAAGTTACTTATTTAATAAGAGTGCTCTGGAGGAAAGGGTGCTATACACAAAGCCAGAATGACAACATATTTAATACCCAGCCAAAGGTTTTGTGTAATTACAAAAGCCAAAAATTCAAAAAGGAATACCTAGTGGATATTTTGCTTAATTTAATTATTTGAATGATAATCCTTCACTCACTTTGTGATCTTAGTCATCCCTTTCCCTAATACCAACTTTAAATTTCAATTATTTGTTAGGTCAATTTTTTCCACTCTTTCCAAAGGTTTCCCTACAAAGTTCATGATACAAAATCTTGGCATAGAATACACATCTAGTGGAAAACATGCTCCAATTTTATAGTTCTGAAAGAATTAATTTATATATAACACAACTTATGTTGTCTCCATCTTGAACTGTTACTTGAAGGAACATGTGAATTTAATCTTAATAGCTTTCTCTGTACTTCTCTAGAAACTTCTTTAAATAAGAATAGCTAACATTTAAATAGTGCTTACTATGTGCCATGCTGAGTTTCAGAACACAGTGAAGAGTGCTGGATTTAGAGTCAGTTTAGGTTTGAATCCCACGTGATTGACTTTCCACCCATGTGACCTTGGGCAAATAATTTAACTGGGGAGAGAGGTGTTGTTTCAGTTTCCTCAGCATTAAAACGATTGGGTTGGACTAGATGGTCCCTGAGAAATAGTAGGAGCAAAATGAAACTTGGGATTACCACCAGACTGCTTCACAGAATGAGCTCAGGATGGACAACTTCTAATCTAAATATCATGAACCTTTCCATGTGCTTTCCTCCAAAACACAAACAATTAATGTGGTTTTAAAGAAGATGAAATCTTTTTATTAAAAGTGTTTTCGTGATATCATGACTGGAAATGGGCTGCCTGAGGACCAAAAGGCATCCTGTCCATTGACAGGTTTATGTGGGAGTTATAATTCTGCTTCTGGTTTGGATGGACAGACCCTGTCCCCCCTCCCCCCATAAGGGTTGTGATGTACATGTGGAACTGAATGTTTCAGAACTTTTCATGGGAGAGGGGTCAAAAATGTGTGTGGACACTATGTATACACGTGTAACTTTCACAACACACGTTAGGAATATTTATGATCCTGCTCCTCCACAGGATCAACTACTGGTATCTGCAGATGCTTGCTGGCAAAGCTGCTTCAGTCGATCTGAGTTTACTCCAGTTATTTGTCCAAATCCTCCACTACTCAAACACTGTGTCCTTGACCCTCCCTTCCGCCATCTCTTCCCGACCCTCTATCTCCTTCTCCTCTGAGGCTTTACTCTCCATCCGGTGACCCACACTTCCAGTCCTATACAGTCCTTACGTCCCCTTCCCTAGAGTCCACCCCTCCAGTCTACCTTCTCTCTGCCCCTCCCCCCTCCATCTTAGATACCTGTCCCTGGCGCACCCCCTCCCCCTCGCAGTGGTTCCAGGTTCACCCCCCCAGCTTCCCGCACGCCAGCCCCCGCCCTCCCCTTGCCCCCGCCCCAGTCTCCTCCCTTCCACTCCACTTCCTGAGTCCATTCTCCTCCCCCTTTCCTTCCTCTTCCTGGGATCCCTCCAAATGGTCCCCTTCCACTTCCTGGATACCCTCTCCAACTAGGTTCCCCATCTCTTCCACGTTTCCTCCTCCTCTACAGCCCGTTCCCCTCAGTCACACGGCCTTCCACGCCATGCCATCCCTCCCCCCACGCACTAATCTTCTCCGACCCACGTGTCCCCAGCCCCGCGCCAGGCCGACCCACCTTTGCCTCCGCCTCCGTCCCTTCCGTGCGCCCTCCTCGGCCCACAGAGCCCCCTCCCGGCCCGGCCCAGCCCTACGTGTCCGCCCCGCCGCCGCCGCCTCCGAGCCCCCGGCCGCTGCCCGCCGCTCGAGCCCGCTCCGCCCCCGCCCCGGCTCCGCTGCGCTCGCCCCGCCCGCGCCCGCTCCTCCTCCCCCGCCCGCGCTCGCTCCCGCTCCCTCTCTTCAGCCCCGGCCCCTCCCGCCTCCCGAGCCCGCCATTCTTCCCGCGCCGTCCTCCCTCCCCGGGCCGCCAGCTCCCTCCTCCTCGCCCTCCCGCGGCCGCGCCTCCCCAAGCCCCGGCCCTCGCCTCCCGGGCCCCTTCCGCTCCCCCTCCCACACTCCCCGCCCGGGGCCTGACCTGCAATGGCGGCCGCCGAACGCGGCGCCTCGCGGCCAACGGGCGACAACCGAACCTCCCGCCGCCACCGTCCGCCGCCGCTAACACTGTCTGCGCACTTCCGGCTCCGTGGGGCCAACGACTGCTTCCGGGGTCAAAGCGCGCGCACGTGGTGCGAGGTCGAGGCCGGGTGGGGAGGGGAGCGCGAGTCGCCGGAGCAGCCGGACCGGAGGCCGGAGGCCGGAGGTCGGAGGCCGGCGGGAGGTGAGTGCGAGTGCAAGCGATGCGGGGAGGGAAGCGGCCCTGCCTCGTGGCTGGGGGACCCTCTCCAGGCCCCCCCCTGCGCCCTCCGCGGCAGCTGGCCCGGAAAGGAAGGAGGGGAGCCGGTTCCCCAAATTGAGGGAGGCCCCTCTGCCAGGTGGCCCTTTTACTACGTCGGCGCCTCAGGAACGTTTCATTTACAGAGCCCCGCGTGTATACAGGAGGCGCCTACTGAGTGTTTGGTCTGCGGGTTTATAGTACTAGCCAGCATTGACTGTTACTTGAGACTGAAATAAAACACACTTTTGGTCCTCACAGCAACCCCAGGAGGGAGGTGCTGTCGTTACCCCATTTTCCAGATGGGGAGACTGACTTGGCCAGGGTCACCCAGCCAGGAAGCGTCTGAGACCGAATTTTCCCTCGAGTCTTCCTGATTCCCAGTCCCGGCACTCCGGGGATTTGTGTACATGCCGTAGGATCCAGGGCAGGATTCTAAGGATCCTCTAGTGCATCTCCGTCATTCGACAGATGGGGAAACTGAGGTTCAGAGAGTCGAGTGAATGGTCTCACCTGAGGTGAGAGGACTCTGAATCCATCATCCCCCCACCAGGCATACACCACCATCCCCCCTTATCAGACTGTGAGCTACTTACCCACAAGGATGACACTGATCCTTGAATTTAGGGCTGGGAGGTACAGTCTAAGGAAACGGTGAACAAATATCATTGTTCGTCTTTGTGTCTGCCCAGCGCCCGGCACAGTACCTCACATAGGCATCTGTTTAGTGCGTTGTTACTACGTTTTACAGAGACGTGTTGAATTGACAAAGATGGAGGGTGAGCCCTTGCTCAATCCCCTCGGATATAGAATATAAGGTTTTCTTCGAATCTGTCCCATGGAGCTCGATTCCGGGTGCATAGAAGGCATTGATAAATGTTTGTGGAAAGAGGATTTGAAGTGTCCTTCGGAGCTCTCCCAGACGCTGAGCTCTCACCACAAAGTTATTACACTGAGCTGGATGGATATTTCTTCTCAGGACTTCTCTTCCCTTGGCTGTTTTCTGAAATCCGTTGCCAACCAACAACTTATTTTACGTAGTGTTTCAAGGTTTACAAAGAGCTTTCTTTACAACGGCTCTGGGAGCTGAGCAATGCAAGTATCGTTATCTCCAATTTCAGATGAGGAAATTGAAGCTCAGAGGACTAAACGTGACTTTGCCTCTGGTTTCAGGGGCAGGATTTGAATCTGGGTCTGCAGACTCCCTAGTGCATTACTTTTTACATTTTGGTCTCTTTGACATTCTCTGTCCTCTACCATTGAGGGATAGCCTAAGGTAGGGGATGAAACAGTTCCAGCTTCCTAGCCATGCTGTTCTGAGCCAGCCCAGCTCCAACCCTTTGTTTCCTCATCTTTAAATTGGACACAAGCCTGGAATGTTGTGTTTCCTCACCTTTACTTCATGGAATGCCCAATTTCCTACAGGAGGCCTGTCCTCATCCTTCCCCCGCCCCATCCCCCAGGCTACTTTTTATTCACTTTGCAAGTCGGATATATTATTTTTACATGTTCACATTGCACCCGTGGTCTCCTCCTCTCCCTCTCCTAGTTTGATGTAAGCTACTTTTTGTCTGTCGTCTTGTTACATGGCACAGTCCCTGGCACATAGTAGGTACTTTATAATTGCTTGCTGAATGAATCCTCTGTTTTGTCGTTCTTTCAGACCAAGATGAGATTCTAGAAACTATTTATTAGTTTATTAGTTAAGTCGGTCATTAAGCATTTATTAAGCGCCTACTGTGTACCAGGGACTATGCATGGGGGTACACAGAACGTTAAAAGACTGCCCTGCTCTCGAGGAGGTATACAATATGTAGGGCGTAACATTACGATCTAAATGTTCAAAAATAATTCCCCTTCACCCCAGGTGAGGAGGCACAGTAAACAGAGAAGAGGCTGCTTTTCACTGCTCCAGGGAACAGTTGGACAGGACATACCCCACCCCATGGAGTAGGTGCTTAATAATGAGTTCCATTTCTCTCTGCAGGAATGGGTGAGTTTAAGGTTCATCGGGTACGTTTCTTCAACTATGTTCCCGTGGGGATCCGATGTGTGGCATACAATCACCAATCCAACAGGCTGGCTGTCTCCCGAGTGGACAGCTCCATCGAGATCTACAATCTGGCGGCCAACAGCTTTCAGGAGAAGGTTGGTCTGCTGTGGGCCTCTGGGGTCATCTGGGCTGACAGCCTCCTTTTGTGGATGAGGGTCCTGAAAGGGAGGAGGGCTGCTCCTTCCTCTGCTGTGTCTGTTCTGTTCCCTTAAGAAATCACCTTCCCCTGTAACAAGTGCCTGCTGTATCTCCTGGCCTCCTTGGGCTAAAGAGGCCAAAACCTTTCACAAGCTCCTTATTTGGGGCTACTGCCTTAGAGCCCTAAGTGGTTCAGTGGCTGTGCCTTTTCGGGGCATCAGGGAGAAAAGTGTGCTTTCTCTTTCATTCTTATCACTTGTTAGCAGTTACTGCCTGGGGATGCCTGGCCAGAGTCAGTCTCTGTTTCAGCACAAATCCATAACTGTGATAAAGATTGGAGTGGTCACCTATTTGGGAAAACCTCTGTGGGTGCAGGTTGAAATTGCACAAGCAGTCCATCGAGGTCCTTAGTTACTGCTGAAGAGCCGTGATCTGAGCTAGAACTGAGTAATAGGAAGACAGCCCAACCCAGGGTGCTCCCTGCCCACAGAGCTCACCCTTTCTTCTTGAGCATCGTGACAGGACTGTTTTCTTCAGATCGTAGAGCAGGTGATCTCAGAAGGATAACTATGGCCGGGCGCCAAGGGGATGGGGATGGGGGGAGAACAGAACACTTAGGGGATGAATAGTGAGTAAGAAGTGGTGATGTTTGGCCTTAGGGACGAGGATCCATCTGAATTCAGCAGATGTTTGCTGAGTACCTACTGTGTGCATGCTGTTATTCTTGGCTCTGGGGGTGCAAAGACCAAAATGAAACAATCCCTGCCCTTAGGAGCTTCAGTTATTTTCTGCTGGAGGTGGGGACAGAGAGCCAACTCCCCCCATTTGAGTACAAGGAAGGAAGAGGCCAGCTGGAAGAGTTGTGTAGGAGATGGTGGAGAGGGAAGAGACTGGAAGTGGGAGGAGCAATTAGGAAGCTGTTTCACCTGTCCAGGGGAGAGATCACAGTGGCCTAAATGAGGGTTGGGCCTGGGTGGGTTAAGTGGGTAAAGGTAGAGACAGAGCTCCCTCTTGGGAGGCTGCTGGAGGACAGAAGTTGTGAGAATGCTGCTGTTACCTGGGACAGCTAGAAAGGGTCTGTAAAAGGACAGAAGAGGGTTAAGGTGTGGATTAGGAGAGGTGAAGAAGCTCACAATACACGGCCATGATTTTTCTCTGCACGGTAGGAATCTGAAGCCTGTGCTCAGGGATCACAGGCTGGAGGAGGGTAGAAGGTTTCAAACAGCTGCTGAGGACAGCAGGATGAAGACTCTATTAAAAAAGAATGAAAGGAGTGCCGTGCCCCAGTGAGGGGTCTATCTGTTGAAATTATATAGAGTGAAGGCATAATGGTGGGCCTTCCTCATTGGTGTTTACGGCCCAGAGAGTGTTGGTGGTGGGCATGATCCAACGTGAATGCAGGCACTCTTGACGGGCAGGGGGGCAAAGGATTCAAGATTGGAAGGTGACACGCATATAGAAGGATGAAAGGAGAGGCAGAAGCAGAGGTCAGGAATCGGGGCAATGGGAAAGGATGAACATGGTGAAGGAGGAGATGAGGATGAAGAGGTAGAGGATCAAAGATGAAAACACAGCACATTGTGGTCAGGGAAGGGACTTGGGAGGTGGCACGGCACATGCTTGTGGACTTGACTCGACTCGACTTATGGCAGGTAAGTGATGACAGACAGCCTAGGGGTTGTTCTGATGTTTTCACATATTTTTAAAAGGAAGACCTCTAATTCATTCTCTAGATTGTTTATTGTGTGTGTCTCAAAGGTCATTGATAAGAATCATATAAGATGAGAAGGCATGGCTCCTTGGCAGTCTCACTACTGGAGGGAATTCCCCCTCCTCCCCCCCATCTTGGCTATGTAGTTTCTGGCCGTGCTGGGAGGCAGAGGGAAAATTAGGGAATCAGAATAGTTTAGTGTAGAGATTGGCAGCCCAGTATTTGGTAAGTGTCTAAAAGTGGTGAATTTAATTGACTTAGCATCTGAGGGACCTTTCTTCTCTTCATCATGTATTTTTCTCCATGTTTTTCCTATTTTCTTCTCTGCTCTTACCTCGCTGTTTCTTTGTGCTAGCTAATTTATTTTTTATTTTCATTTTAATTGTTTCAATTATTTTAAAAAATTAATCTGTCTTTCACTCTCAACTTCTTTCCCACACCCCAGAAAAAAATAAAACTCCCCTCAAGGCCCCCTAAAACCTTCAATTCATAGCATAGTCTGGCAAAACAAATTTCCACATTAGCCATGTCAGAAAATGGGTCCCATTCTGCCTTTAAAGCTCATCACCTCTCTGTTGAGAGGTGGGTAGCTTGTTTCATTCTTTTGGATTCCTAGCTTTTCATTGAGCTCATCAGAGTTCTAAAGTCTTTCAGAGTTGTTTTTTTCTTTTTAAAAAAATTTTTGATTTAATATTTTTTTAATATTTTAAGTTCTGAACTGTCTCCCTCCCTCTCTCCCCACCCCATACTAGAGAAGGCCCACCATTTGACATAGACATAGAGATAGAGATATATAGATATGATAGCATCTTCCTTCATAAGCCCTTTGTAGTTGACTTGAGTGTTTATAATACTCAGAATAACTTAGTTGTTCACAGTTATTTTTCAAACAATATTGCTGTTACTGTGTACAACATTCTCTTGGTTCTGCTTATTTTGTTCTTCATTATTCATTCAAGTTTTTCTGTGTTTTTCTAAAATCATTCTCATCATTTCTTACAGGTCAGAGTTGTTTTTCTATGTAATGTTATCATTGTATACATTTTTCTCCAGGTTTTGCTCATTTTGCTCTATATCAGTTCATAAAATATTTCCCAGTTTCTTCTGAAACTGTCCATTTCATCATTTTTGGAGGCACAACAATATTATATTATGTTCACATACCACAATGTGTTTAGACATTCACTAGTAAGACAACCCCTTAGTTTCCAATTTTTTACTACCATGAAAAGATCTGCTATAAATATTTTTTGTGTACATAGGTCCTTTTCTTCTTTCTTTAATTTCTCCTTGATATAGGCCTAGTAATGATATAGGTGGGTCAAAAGGTAGGTACTATTTAGTAACTTTCTGGGCATAGTTCTATATTTGCTAGCTAATTAATATTAACTGGGCCCTCACTACAATACTTCTCCTCCCTAATTGATTCCGTATTTTACTCACTTCTCTCAAGTTCTCTGTGTTGCTCCGCCATTTCTGCCACCCCCCTCTCTTTCTACTGAGGACCTCCCCTCACACTTCACTGAAAAAATGGAGGCCATCTAGACAGAACTGCTCCTTCTCCCCTCTTGCTCATCTTACATCCTTCTGACTTTGTCCCCCACCACATTCTCTTTCATTCATTCCACAGTCTAAGGATGTGAGACTGTCTTCCTGCTTGCTAAGGATAATCCTACTCCATGTACCATTGATTTGATCCCCTCCCCTCCCATCTTTCCCTGCAAATTGTCCCCAATGTCATGCACACCCTCTGTTATTTTCAGTCTCTCCCTATCTCTTGGTTCCTTTCCTGATTCTTAAACACTGCCATCTCTCCCTATCCTTAAAAAGCCTTCATTATTATATTCAAAATCCTCCAACTATCATCCTATATTTTCTTCCTCTTCTCAGCTTCCTTGGGGGAGAAATACCTAGTCAATGTTTCTAATTCTTCTCATCCACACTCTTCTAAAATCTCTGCGATATGGTTACTGACTTTATCATTCTACTGAAATTGCTCTCCCCAGAGTTACCAGTGATCTACTCAGTAATTAATTGCCAAATCTAATGACCTCTTCCTGATCTTCATCTTACTTGACTTCTCAGTATCATTTGATGCCTTCTCCATGCTGGGTTTGTGACCCTCCTCTCTCTTGGCTCTCCTCCTGCTAATTTTAATTTCCTCACTCTACACCCATGTCATGCCCAGCAAATCTAGATGTCCTCCAAGGCTGTGTCTTGGTTCTCTTCTCTCTTTAATCTCACTTAGTGATCTCTTGAGTTCCCGATGGGTTCAATGAACAGTGCTGGACTTAGAATCAGGAAGAGCTGAGTTAAAATTCTACCTTAGATACTTAGCATCTTTGTGGCCTTATTTGAATCAAATAACCTCTGTCTGCTTCATTTTCCTCATCTGTAAATTGGAGTAATAAAAGTGTCCATCTCCCCATTTTATTGTGAGGAATGAGAGAACATGTGTAAAGTGTCATTTAAATGCTAGCTGTTATTATCGTCTCTATTGTGCAGATGATTCCCAGCCTTGGTCCCTCTCCTGATCGCCCCTCCTACATCGCCAGCTCTTTTTTGGACTTTTTGAAGTGGATATACCAGTGGGCGTCTCAAAATAATCATGTCTAAAATAGAACTCATTATATTCCCTCCCAAACTTTTTTCTCTTCTGAATTCTCTCATGGTTGTAGAGGTGCCATCATCCTTCTGATCACTCAAGTTTAAAACCTCAGCTTCTCTCTCATTTGCTTTTCATGCCCAACCAGTTGTCAGATCTTTTGTCCCCAACATATCTTGCATGTGGCCTCCACCCTCGTTTGGGCCTTCATCTCCGCTCACCTCCATTTTTCCAGTAGCTTTCTCCTTGGTTTCCTCACCTCAAGACTCTCCACACTCCAATCCATCAGTTGTCAAAGTTCTTTTCCTAAAGCAGAGCTCCAACTATGCCACTTTTACTCTTATGATCAACTAGGAAGTCTTCTTTTTGGTGCTTCAAGCTTTTTACTAACTGTCCCCTTCCTTCCTCACCAAGTTCCTCACCATCTGCTTGCCTGTAGTACTCCCTCCTGTTCAGCCACACCAGCCTACTCTGAAGTTCTTACAAGGGACACTGTGTCTGTGCCTTTGTGGCTGGTTGTTCACTTTGCCTAAAGTACTCTCCTTCTCAGAAGCCCTGACTTCTTTAAGACTGGTAACATGTACTTTATTTTTCTTGGGGGGGGTTTTGTCTGTGTTTTCTTTTACAACGTGACTAATACGAATGTATGTTTTATATGACTGCACATTTGTAACGTATGAAATGGCTTGCCTTCTTAGTAGTTGGGATGGGGAGGGGGAGCTGGAATTCAAAAATTTGAAAAAAATATTAAAAATTGTTTTTCCATGTAATTGGGGAAAAATAAAATATTTTTTAGAAAATATTGGTAAAACACCACCCCATCTAGCAGATCTTTGCTGGTCTGTCCATCTAGGCCTTTGCCACTCCCCAACCTTCACACTTCCACTTGCTATGGCTGCCTTTTACTACTCTGTAATTACTCATTTGTTTTTATACAGTTATCCCCATTAGAATGTAAGCTCCTTGAGGCAAAAACTTTTTGCTTTTTCTTTGTATCCCCAGTGCTGAGCACAGTGCCTATTACATGTAAAAGCTTGCTGATTGATTGACTGATTGATTGATAACCTTTAATTTTCTTCCTTGCCTAGACCAGCACCACCCATGAAGGTATTCCTTAGTCCCCACTAGGAGCATTCGAGACTTTTAAAAGTGACTGATCCCTATCCTGGTGGAAAGAGGAGAGGGCTGGCAGGCAGAAGAGCTGTACTGGACAAGTCACTTAATCTCCTATATGTGTTTCAATCTCCCCAAGGGAAAAATAGGAAATATACCTATCTCCTACTTCACACCTAAGGATGTAAGAATAAAATAAGATAACTAGGAACACCTTTTGAGTTTTTAATAAGATGCTGTTTAAATCACTGATTTGACGTGAACCTGTGACCCAGACATTGAAACCAATTGTACTAATTTCTAGTCTGTCAAACCAGCCTCAAGAATTTGTTAATTATTTTTGGCTAGTTCTTTTCAAATACCTAGTGAATCTCTCTGAATCAGAGGTAAGCCTTTTTTTTTTTTATGGAGAGAGAATCACACATGTGAGCACCTGCACTGCCACTTAAACACATCGAGACGCTAAGAAGGGGGATGTCCTGAGGATCACAGAGCGAGCAAAGAAACTGAGGCCTCCCTGCCTCGGGGCCAGCTCTGTGTAGCACCATGCTGCTTCTCAAAACTAAACATAGGCTGAGGAGAACAAAACCAGAGTGTCCAAATATTTTCAGAATCAAATTATTTCATTTGTTTTGGGTTGTGATGTAAATTCCATGCATTCTCTGACTACTCAGTGGATGCTAATAGATGATGATGGTGATGATGATTTGACAACTAAATAAAGTGTTACTATGTTTTTGTAGTTTTTCCCAGGCTATGAGAGTCGATCCACAGAAGCTCTGTGTTGGGCAAAAGGACAGCGGCTCTTCAGTGCTGGACTCAGTGGTGACGTTATTGAGTATGACTTGGAACAGCTGAGTGTCAAGTATTCTGTGGATGGCTTTGGAGGTCCCATTTGGAGCATGGCTGCTGACCCAAGTGGCTCATACCTTGCGGTTAGTATTTGAGGGAAAAGGGGAGCATGTGCTATTAATATAGGTTGAGGTTTCCTTCTGTACAGTGATGGAGGATTAAGTAAAATTCTCTTTCAGAATATGGTAGTTTGGATTTTTACCCTATGCTGCTTCTAGAATGTTCCCAGTGATGGGATTGGAGCGTATGTTGGGGTTATCCACACTTTGTTTTTATCGTATTTGCATTCATAATTGTCTTTTTAAGAAATTAAAGCTCTTATTGATGCTCTTTTTATATCAGTTTTATTTCCCAATAACCTCTCCCCTAAAATCCTCCCATAAAACAAGAATAGCTAAGCCAAAGAGATGCACACATTGGCCTTGTCTGATAGGATGTTTCATTTGTTAACTATAGGCCACTGCCTTACCTCCTTCTAAGAGGAGGGAGGTATTTCACCAATAGTTCCCTAAAATTTTGATTAATCATGCCGTTGATCTGCATTCTGTTGTCTGCTAATGTAATGCTCTCCTGGCTCTACTTACTTCTCTCTGGTTCAGTTCATATGGATTCGTCCAAGTTTCTCTGCATTCTTTCTATTTGTTATCTCACAGTACTGTCACTAATAGCCCATCACATTCATGTACTACAATTGGTACCCATTATTTTTCCTGTTCCTTGACACCATAAAAAGTGCCCCTCTATGGAACCTCTCCAACTGTGACCTCTTTGGGATCATCCTCAGTGGTGATATCCATGAGGTCACGGAGTGTATCTGATTTATTGACTTTTGGCATTATGCTGGATCGTGCTTCAGAGTGCTTGGACTCAGTCACAGCTCCCCCGGGTTTTGTCATCTTTGGCAGTCAGAGAGGGGAGGGGAGACAAAATCTCGGGGGTGTTTTCATGAACCTTTCTCCTTTGATTACCAGTATGGAACATTCTTCCATATGGTTGTCCATAGTTTAATTTCCTCTTCCTATCTGGTAAATTAGGAAACGTGGGCAGAGGGGTTAAGGGATTTGCCCAGTACATGGAACTAGTAAGCGGCAGGTCCAGGATTTGAATCCAGGTCCTTCCTGACTCCAGGACCAGTGCTCTTTCTGATTCAGCCAGCAGCATGTCTGTTGTGCCTTTGCTCTGAATGAATAATGTTTTTGACTTGGTTAGAAGTTGGGTTTCTGGCACGGGCACCATGTGGCCTGTTTTTAGCACTGTCACCTATCTCTTTAGAGCACTCTTGAGCTCTTTAGCTCTCCAGGGTATGTAGGGTGTAGTTTCCTGACTCTGGCACTCTCCTCTTTCAAAATGTTTTTCTTAAAAAAAAAAAAATTTCGGCGTTTTTGTTTCTTTTCATGTATGTTCTTTTTGGTTTTCTTCTTTCTCCCCAACAGATCGGCTGTGAGGATGGGTCTGTGAAGCTGTTCCAAGTCACCCCAGACAAAATCCAGCTTGAGCGGACTTTAGAAAGACAGAAAGGTAAAGGGCACTTTAGTGGTCAGTGCAATGAATGGCCTTTCCTGAAAGTTGTGATGCTTTTGTGCTTGTCGCAAGAGATGTTTTTATCTGGTGTCTGCGAGGAGCTGTCCCTTGTCTCCTGGATGGAAAAACATGCCAAGTCTCCTGGATGGAAAAACAATTCTGAAATAAAAAGAACTAAGATTACCCATAAAAACCAAACATGATTTTTCTTTTTACATCCCTATTAAACAGATTTTTGCATTAGTGATGTTGTAAGGAAGAATTAGAACCAATAGCAGGAGCCACAAGAAAGAGAAAAAAAAAGAAGAAAAGTAGCAAATCGTAGGCTTCAATCTGCATTCAAACTCCACAGTTCTTTCTCTGGATGTGGAGAGCATTTTCTTGTCACAAGACCTTTGGAGATGTCTTAGAACCTTGCATTGCTGAGAAGAGCTAAGTCTGTCAACGTCAGTCATCGCACAGCGTGGCTGTTACTGTGTACAACGTTCTCCTGGCTCTGCTCATTTCACTCAGCATCAGTCCACACAAGTCTTTCCAGGTTTTTCTGAAGTCCACCTGCTCATCATTTCTTATAGCACAACAGTATTCCATTACGTTCACATGGCACAACTTGCTCAGCCATTCCCCAATTGATGGGCATCCTCTCAATTTCCAGTTCCTTGCCACCACAGAAAGAGCTGCTATACTTTTTAGACAACGATTTTTAAAAAGCAGTAGCATATAGGGTAACGTGGGTATGTGACTTGTGGCTTTAAAATGGCATCTCCTAATGAATAAGGGCTGGAATGTGTTACATTCTCTACAATATTTCTCAATCAGTAACATCAGATGCTCACCCTCAGGGCGTAGCATATTATATGTGGCCAGTAGGACTTCAGGGCAGAGTTATATTGTATCTGGAGTTACATAATGTGCTAGAATATGGGGAAAATAGGGGTAAGGTGGTATAATACTCACCCTGCAGCTAGTTGTAGTAGAGAACTCTCTGGAACTCATTACTGTTTATTTATAAACCCTTTCCTTTTTTATTGTGTACCTGCCAGGTCGAGTCCTCTCATTAAGCTGGCATCCGTCTGGTACCCACATTGCAGCTGGATCCATAGACTATGTTGCTGTGCTTGATGTCCAGTCAGGTACGGTTGTTCTCAGTTCACAGTGCGTGGCTTATGTGTTTGGATCAGGGTTTGGGGTTTCATGGAAAGATGTCCAAGCTCTGATGGATGCTGTGACTGATTGTGATTTCAGATGATTGTTGTGAGGTAGGGGCTTGGAGATGTGGCATGAAGCAGACTTTTCAGACATGACGGATGTGCTGGCTTGTTTTACTTGACTTTGTTTTTTCCTTTAAAGGAGTTTTCTGTTCTGGCCAGGGCAGTCAGTGGTATTGTGAAAAGAAGAAAAAATGTTCTTTAAACAGTAAAACAAACAAAAATCTGTTAGGATTTGTGTTAGCAATTTGAGACCTTAGAATAAATCACTTTGAGGACCTTTATAGCTCAGCCTTCCTTTTGTCTTCTCAGCAGCTGCTTTGTGAGCTCTTTTCCTTTATAAGCTCCTCACGAATCTTGGTGTGATTTATTCCCACTTATCCCGGGTTTGTACTGGGGCACATTCTCTTTCCTGACTGGACCCGGAGAACCAGCTTATGAGCATCCCCTTCTGTGGTTTAGTAATGGGAAGAGCCCTGCACTTGAAGTCAGACAAAGAGCTGGCTCTGCAGCCTTTGTGGCTGGGGGACTTGAGACAAATCTGTTCAGCTCACTGAGCCTCACGTTTTCATCTGTGAAATGGGGATAATAATTCATACTTGTCTTACCAGACATGGCTCTGGCCAGTATCAAAGGAGATTTGTATGTAATTTTTATGTAAGCTGTAAGGAGTTATTTCTGTAAGCTGTGCTTAAATAGTCCAGACTTTTCACTGTTTGTGTACAGGAGCTGGGCAGAAGACTCCTTGTTTCACTTTCCATTGATAAAAGGGTCTCTGTCTCTGTCATCTTTTCTTCCAATTCTTTTGGTGTGCTCATTTCTCAGGCAGCACTGCCCAGAAGATGTTGATGGACAAGAGGCACCCGGGATCCCAGCGGCGCAGGTGCGTCGTGTGGGGGGTGGCCTTCCTGTCGGACGGGACTGTCGTGAGCACGGACTCAGCTGGCATGGTGCAGTTCTGGGACTCCGAGACTGGCACCCTCGTGCAGACACATCCCCTCGCCAGTTCTGATGTGCTGTCCATAGCTGTGGCGGAGGTGAGCACGCACCTACGTTCACAGCTGGTGTGTTAACTCTTTGCAACTCAAGCATGGGTACTGGAGGTAGCATGGCATAGTGGGAGGCAGGTCATCTGACCTCTCAGAGCCTCAGTTTCTTCATCTGCAAGATTACATACTAACATCTATTACTGACCTCACGGCATTAGGGTGAGAGTGAAATTTTTCCCCCTTGATGCTCTGCGTGTCTGTCATATAATATTGCTTATTGAAGCGTATAACCTAGCCTCCCTATTAGATTGTAAACTTCATGAGGGCAAAGATCTCCAACACTTAGCACGATGCTTTCTGTGTAGTCAGGATGTATGACTGGCGATAATGTTTGGAAATTGGTTTGTTAACAAACTTGCTGTTTAGGATTACAAGAGGAAAATTAGACAGTGTGTTAGAGATGTTGTTACCAACACTGAGTCTCTCAGTATAGTTCTGGAGGGTAGGCCTAGGAAAGTGTACCCAGGATAAATGTGAGCCCCCTGTGTCTCCTCACTCCTCACTATGCTGGCTGGTTCAGCAGCAGAGGGGATTCTCTCCACACCCTGCCGTAGTAAGCAGACCTGTGCTGCTCCTGGAAGGGGGTCAAGAAGCCTTGAGGCTTTCCAGAGGATTGACTCCTCACTTCCCATCTCCTACTTTGCTGTGAAGTGAATCCCTAGAAAATCATGTTTTCTCTCATTTGAATTGGATTTGAGCAGATTTGTGTTAAGAAAGTCCCTTGAGCAAGTTACCTGGGCTTCTCTCTTCACCCACAGAGTGAGAGGGTTGGATTAGATCGTCTTTAAAGTTCTTTTGACCTTTGAAATTATGTGGTCTTAATTCAGTATATTGCTTGCCCTGTGCTGTAATTTAGCCTTTCACACACCTGCATTTTGCTAGTTTTCCTACTTTCAAACCTTTTCCCTTTTGGGGTTTCACAAAGCTTTTTCAAAGCCATTTGCTTTTCAGGCTCTCCCTTATTCTGGCTTGATGAGTCAGTCAGTCAATCATTAAACATTTATTAAGTGCCTGCTGTGGAAGTGGCAAACCTCTCCAGTATCTTTGCCAAGAAAACCCCAAATGGGGTCACCAAGAGTTGGCACAACTGACAGTGATGATGTGCCAGGTACTACACATTAAGCACTAGGGATGCAAACAGAGGCAAAAGATAGTCCCTGCCCTCAAGGAGCTTTCAGTCTAATGGGGAAGACCACATGCAAACAAGTATATACAAAGCAAGCTCTGTACAGTTCAAATAAGACATAATTAAAAGAAGGAAAGCACAGGAATTAAGGAGGGGTTAGGGAAGGCTTTCTGTAGAAGGTGGGATTTGAGTTGGAACTCAACAATTTGCCAAAGAGAGGGAGCAGTGAAGGGTCAGCTTCTTATAAACCTCTGATACTTCAGCCTTCGTGCGGGCACGCTGCTTGCGGGCTAGGCAGAAGGCTCACCTTCTCATTGCTTATCACTAGGTGTTGAGGAATCTTAAAGAGCCCTCAGGAGGTAATAACTTACCTAAACTGGTCTCCTTGTCCATCTCCCCTCCCTCTGATTTGTGTGAGTCTCTGCCTCTTCTCAGTAAGTGAGCTTTAGGAAGACTCAGCCGGTGGCTATGCCTTTCTCCCCTCTCTGTAATGATAACTGACATTTATCTGGGGTTTTCTGGTTTATACTGTGCTTTACGTGACATTGTGTCACTCACTTCTCACAACAGTGTTGTGGGGTTGTTAGGGCAAAAAGTATAATCTCCATTTTACAAATGAGGAGACTGTGGCTTGTGGAGGTGAGATGAGCTGCCTGGAGTCACACAATAAGTGTCTAAGCTAGGCCTGGATCCCAGGTCTTCTAACAGCCCACCCAGTCCTTCCTCTGTTGTGTGACTGGGGTCACGTGGGGGCCACCCTGTCAGCTCTCAGCCAAGTGGAGAGAAGAAACAGAATTGGGTTCTTTTGAGAAGTAGTTGGTGAGTTTTGAGCAGTAAAACTAAATGAAAAAACACTGAAATCCCTTCCACAATACGTTCTTTTCTTCATGTAGGAAATATTCCTACTCACCTGTGGTCTGGTGCTTGTCTTTTGTACTCTGCTGCAGATGACATGATCAGGTCTGCTAGGCTGTTGAATTTTCTTTCTACACTCAGGGATTTCAACCTTTTATGGTTGCAGGCCGTCCCAACATTCATTTTCCCTTTCTAAAGATGTATAAGAGGGTTTAAAGCTTGGTGGAGATCATGTAGTGCAGTCCCCTGTTTTACAGATGAGGAAACCAAGGCTCCCAGGTTGGCATGACTTGGATGAGGCCGCACAGCTAGTGAATAACAGCTGACCTCAACCTGTTTGCAGCCTTCAGGTCCAACACTGTTTTCATGATGCATACTGACTGCCAAAATGCCTATGGTCTTAAAAACTGCAGTGACTCATAATTAATTTTGCTCTGTGAATTTCCAGGCACCACTTGCTAATTAAAGTCATATTGTATTGCTTTGAATTGCTGGTCTACTTCCTCATGGCAGAGAGAAAAAAATGACCCATATTAGTTGGAGGGCTGTCCTGTGGAGGAAGATTAGAGCAGGGTAGTGGATGAGGCGGAGAGAAGCCTCCCAGCAGTTGGCAGAGTGGCCCATGGTGGGAGTGGACCACCCCAGAACACACAGGGCTCCCCTTCCACCAGGGCCACCTTCTGAGCAAATGGCTGCTCTACAGGTAGCAGCATTCTGCATGATTGGCCAGCAGGGGGTGCTGTGACACGTCTGTTGTTGAACACACTCATGCAACTGGCTCTGGCTCCATTGGCCCTGCTGCTGGGCTGCTGCTGCCGCCACTGACTCTCTTCCTCCTCCTCCTCCTCCCCCCTCCTCCTCTTGTTATAACCTGACAGCACAATGAAATCTCGATGCTGTCTTCCAGGCACCCTTGACCATGATGCCCAGAGACCGCCCAGGGCATCCCTAGGCCTGTCTTCAGATGCAGCTCTTATCTTTGAGATTCAGGGGGAAGAATGTTTTTTGTTCATAAAGTTTAACTTCCATGCACAAGCATGTGTTCAGACAAATGAGTCAGACAGTACAGAGTCCTGAGCTAGATCGGCCACAGCTTGGGGCCAGTTGGGGGTGAGCTTTCTCAAGGTGATACTGACTCAGCTGTCTCTGTGATTATTTCATCTCTCAGAAAGAAGACAGTATGGTGGTGGGCACGGCCGAGGGGACCATATTCCATTTCCAGCTGATCCATTCGAGGTCAGACGGCAAGCAGAGCCAGTGGGTGAGGACAAAGCCCTTCCAGCACCACACGCATGATGTGCGCTCTGTGGCTCACAGCCCAACCGCACTGATCTCTGGAGGCGTGGACACCCACTTAGTGATTCGCCCACTCATGGAAAAGGTGGAGGTCAAGAGTTATGATGCTGCACTTCGGAAAGTCACCTTCCCACATGTAAGAGGCTTTAGAAAAAACAGCAAACAAATAACTTATGTCCTTTGTGTGTGTGGTTGTGATGGCGGCATTTTCACATTGATGAGTCTGTGCTCCATCGGCGGAGCTTGTCACCCAGTGTACTTTCTCCTGTGGATCCCTGTCCTTATTCTTCCCTAGACCATTCATAGAGGACTTAGCCAGTGTGCTCCAGGCTTTCCTATAAGACTTGGAATGTTTTGTGCGTGCTGCACTCAGGCTCTTTCTTAGCTTTCACTCTGGGTATGTGACCTCTTCCTCCAGAGATACAGTCATTGGTGGTGTCTTCTATGCCACTACTTGCTTGAAAATCAGTGAATGGTACCTATCATGCATCTTTCCATTGCTCTAGGTTGGGGGGAAAAAATGGATCAGTACCTTATTTTTATATCACCTTGACTCCCAAGCATATCCTCCCCTTCCTCCACTCAGAGAACCATCCCTTGCCAAAAGGAAGGAAGAAAGAGTGAGGAAAAGGCAGTTTAGCCAAACCAACCGGCACATCAGCCGTGCTTGGCATACTGTGCTCCACTGCTTGTATCTTTTCCAGTGCTGATTCTTTGCCATGCTAGGTATTTAATAGGTGGTTATTGATAGAGGGATTGCTGGTGTTCCCATGATTTGTAAACTTGTTGCATCACAGGAAAACATTGGGCTTTTGTTTCAAGGGTCACCTTGAGGATATTGAAAGTGCTGGGTCATTTTCCAAATGGAATCCAGCTCCTTCTCGTCTTGTTAGATTTTGGACCCCTAGCTGCCCCTCCAACTCTTTGTCACAATCTGACTGGCAGGCATTCCGAATTTACTTGGGTTTTTTCTTTAGAGATCTCACAGAGGAGACCCTGCAGTTTTCCAGGCTTTGATGCTTAGTGAAATGCCATCTTCCATCAGGGACATTTGGAAAGCGTGGCAATCTTTAGGAACTTCCTTCTCCATTCCGACTTTGGATAGGATGTGGAGAACTTTGGCATCACATCTCTCACTTTTTTTTGGCTAGACCTAATTGATAATCAATGGATTGCTAACCTAAGTTATCCATCTTTTAAGGAATCTTAGATACATACGAGACAGCTTCTTGGAGGAGAGCCTATAAGGCGTGGTTTTGTTTTTACCAAGTCAGGTGCTTTTTTTGTAATGAATAAATGATTAAAAAAATAAAAGTAGGACCTTGTGTCCCCTATACCTCAGTCAGTTGGGTGACAGTGGAAGTGTGTCTCCCATAGAAAATCATCTGTAAAGCCCTCTTGTTCGTTAAAGTTTTTTTCAGTACAAATACTCTGGCTGTGTCTATTCTTGTGAACACTTTTTAGACATTAGAAGTTAGGCATATGGATTAGAAGTTGCCAATGTCTTCTCAGTCGCCATTTTATAAGATAATAAATGCTATTTGTCTTTTTAAAACTTTTGACATCTCCTCTTTGAGTTAGATTCCTATTATTGTTATTGTGACTGTAAAAAAAAAAAGATTCATATTTATGGTGACACCAAACATGATTTCTTTCTCCTTTGTCTTTAGTCTATGGGCCCTTTTTGTTACAAAGTATTTATTTCGTTATCAGTTAACATAATCAGCTATTTTCAGCTAAATTGGTACTCTGTTCCTATGATCCATTCCTGGGGAGGTGAGCAGGACAGGTATTTTGCCCCTCTGCAGGGTCAGGCTTATGGAGCTGGAAGGGACAGTGTTGATCATTGAGGCCCAGAGAGGGGAGGTCACATTGGCACTCAAGGAGCTGGAGAGCCAACACTGAAACCTTAATCTTCTTGGCACCAGATCCGGCATTCTGTCTGTTCTGCTGCACGCCCTGTAGTCCAGTTTCTCCCTTTCTTTGTTTGCATTAGTCTGTTGTGAGAAAAGGTTGAATTGAACAAAAATGAAAAACACGCTAATGATTTGTTAAAGCCCTTTTGTTCTAGTTTTATATGGTGTACTGAGATGTTTTCCTTAAGCTTGTATGTGGGAAATCTGAATTAAATTAAATCTAAATTTAAATCTAAATCTAACCTCTGGTGCCGATTGTTCCTTGGCTACAGCGGCGTCTCATCTCCTGCGCTAAGAAGATGCAGCTCCTCCTCTTCCAGTTTCCTCAGCGTTTGGAACTTTGGCGATTGGGAGCCACTGACGCAGCTGGTGAGCCGGGCACCATCTTCTTCCTGGGAATGAGCCATAGACACTGTGGAGAAAAATGTTGACATCACAGTCATGGAAAGAAAGGAGCAATTGGGATGATCTGGGAAAATGGATGTGACTTGTTGGGTTTCTACAAAATGCGTCCTCTTAGGTGCCCATGTCCTGGCCCGCAATCACGACCCCCAAAGAGCCTGTCCACCGGCAGAGCTGCCTGTTCAGGATGACCTTAAAGCTCGTAGGTGGGATAAGTCAGAATCTCGGATCTGTCTCTCTTGAGCCATAGTCCAGGCCAGGGCTGGGAAGGCAGCTTAGAGGCCTGCTCTAGGTTGACCACATTTTGGCCCTGCTGTTGGTAAACAGAGACAATGTAGAGTTCATATACTTAATTTGACAGTTGACGGGTCCCTGGGACATCACCTGGTCCAGCCCTCTCGTTTTACAGGTTAAGCAACTGCAACTTAGAGAGGTGGCGTTATAAACCAGAGCCAGACGCTCAGAACTCAAGAGAGCTGTTTCCTTTTACAAAGGAGGGACCTGGCCTGGACGTGATTGGCTTGCATTGTGCAATGCTGGGGGGCTAGGAAAGGGGTGCTGAGCATTTCTGATTCAAAGACGTACAACCTTCGTAATTGATTAGAGCAAAGGAATTGGGGTCAGGAGGCCTGAGGTCAACGTTCTGCCTTCAGACACTAGCAGGGTGATCGTGGGCAGACCACATAAGCTAGCAGAGGGCAAACCTTGTAGAAGTATTAGCTGTTATTTAGGTGCCTCACTGGGCAAGTGAGAGAGAAGACAGGCTCAGTCTGCTTCCACTCTGCTGGCAGGTCTGCTAAATTCTCATGATACAGGGTCATGGGGGGGGGGGGTGGCGCACGTTGTTAAAGTTGAGTGATTGCTTGGGATAGGGCCAAGGGCAGAGCTGAAGGCTTCCCTCTTCCTCAGTCCCGGGAGATTGTGAGCTAGCTAGCTAGCCAGTAGCCGGCCAGCCAAACAGCTGCCTGGTTTTCCATGGGCCTCATCCCACTCTGGTAAGGATTCAAGCTATTTCTCATACATAACAAAATGGTTTTAGAGGGGAAAGTGTAATTTTGTCCTGTGGGGGAATAACTTCATTAAGAGGGAAATCCTTAGTGGGATTTCTTGTTCCAGGAAAGAATGAGGACATCCTTCCACTCTCTAGAAATGCAGAACATTTGCTACAGCTTAAAAAAAAGGTAAGATGTGGCTTGAACTTAACACCCAGAGCCAGAAATGCAGGGCGGGATTTAGATTTCCTGTTCTGAAATCGCCTCATTTTGTCTGTAATTCATTTGCTGATTCACTGGTTCATCCAGCAAATACTTGTTGAATGACATCTACGTGCAGTTGGCTAGTTTATCATAGGCAAATCACATAGTTGACAGGAGGAGTTGGACCTTTACCTGTATTTTCTTGACACTGTTGTGCACCAGAGCCAACTTGCTTACATCTCTCCTGTCCTTTCCCGTTGCCTCTGGCAGAAAGCCCCCATAATCATTCTCATTCTCTCTCTCTCTCTCTCTCTCTCTCTCTCTCTCTCTCTCTCTCTCTCTCTCTCTCTCTCTCCCCATTCTCTCTCTCCCATTCTCTCTCTCTCTCTCCCGTTCTCTCTCCCTCTCTGATCTTTATTATTTCCCCGTCTATGGGCATTTTCCCAGTAGCCTGAAAATATGACCATTGGGCCTCCATCCTGAAAGAACTCTTCTTCATGCCTCCTCACCCTTCCTTCGATGTACCTCGAGGCTCTGCTTCCTCTCCTCCCTCTTCAGTCCTTTGCAGTCTGGCTTCTCAGCTTATCATCTCACTAAAACTGCCTTCTCTTCCTTGCCCAATGTGATGGCCCCTCCCCAGTCCTCACCCTTCCTAAGCTCTCTGCACCCCCTGACTTACCTTCCTGCATGCTCTTGTCTGGCCTTCGGGGATTCTGCCTTCTCCTGGTTCTCCAGCTGCTTCTGTTCATCTGTTGCTGGATTATTGTTCATGGCCCCCACCTTCTTTGGGCATGTGCCCCGAGTGCTTTTGGCCCTTATCTTTCCACATTCTAGCTGTTGGATGTCCCTCAGTCTCTGCAGGTTTAGTTATCTTTACCGAAATTACATGTTGAGCCTTAGTCCCTCTCCTGAGCTCTGCTCATGCAGCTGCAGTGTGTGTTGGTGGTTTCAGACTGGATGTCCCACGTGCATCTCAAACGCAGCGTGTCCAAAACTACTCCCTCTCTACCCAAACTTATCCCAAGGCCCAGCTGTAAGGACCCAAGAGCTGCCAGTCTAAGGATGCAGACTGTCCCCAGGAATAGTCCCACTGTAAGGGGAAGGTGCTAAGATACCCAAGAAAAAAGGGTGGTCCGTGTCAGCATGGGGATGTGTGTGTAGATCTGTTAGGGCTTATTGGGTTAATTGAAGGAGTTTACTCACAAGACCAGGCCTTGGCCGAAGGAGGTCCCAGTAGTGGATCCCTTGACGTTACGTAGAAACGGAACAAAGAAGGCCAGTGCCAGAGATGGCACAGGGTCACGTGCAGGTTTTCTCATGGGATAGTTAGAACCTCTTTGCTGTTTATGCTCATTCAAGGTGTGTTAACTGTGAGGTCATAGGTCATGTTCTCACACTGGCTGTCCTATACACTAGCTTTCCTGTTTTTGTCCTGCCAGTAATTCAGGTTTCCACCTTGATGGTGTCCTTGACCCTACAGTCTCTCACCAGCAGGGCTTCCCTTCCTTTGCCTACCTTGTTTCCATCTCCACAGTCCCCCTCGAATCTATTACCTTCTCTTTTCCTCAGACCCCCCTATGCTACCCCCAGTTCAGGCCCTCATCTTCTCTTGCCTAGATGCCATTGAAGTAGCCTTTTCATTCATTTCCCTACTCTGGTTTCTCCCCTCTCCAGTCCATATTCCATGAAGCTGCCAAAGTGATTTTCCCAAAGCCTGGCTACGTCACTCCTTTCTCACGCTCCAGTGATAACATATTAATGTTGCTTCTGTTTGGCCTTGCAAGCCTTTCACCGTCTGGCCCCAACCTACCTTCTCAGGGTTACTGCTCATTACTGCCCTTCCCCACACACACTCTGCATTTCCAACAGACTGGTCTTCACGCCTCAGCTCTACATCTCTGGTTTCCACACCTCTGCCCTTGCTGCCCCCTACGCCTGGGATGCCTTCTCGCCCCACCAGAACTGACAGTGGAATTCCTTGTTTCTTCTAGAGTGGTCCATCTCTACCTTCTACATAAAACCTTCCTGGTCCCCAGGAGCCAGTCTTCTCCCTTCCCCCCAACCCCCACCCCATTACATTTGCCTGGTATTTATTTTTGTGTGAGTTGTGTTTATGTACCCAGTGTCTCCCCTCATCATCCTATGCTCTACATCCCCAGCACTGGCACAGAGCCTCCTGTGTGCTGAGTAGGTGCTTGTCGAAGGACAGCATATAATCACATGCAACAGCACAGTAATGAAACACATAATTGAGTGTATTATAGTCATAGGAAACGGGATTGTTCTTTAAAGCATATTTACAACTACCAAAACAACATAAAGTAAATGGTTCTCACAGCCTCCCAAAATCATAGCATTTCAGGGTTGGAAGGGATTTCAGGCCTCATCTAGTATAACCCTTACTGAACAGGAATCCCCTCTGTAACAGGAATTCATTCATTCATTTCTTCATTCAGCAAGCCTGTATTAGTGATCCGGCCTTCTGAGCTCTTCCAGTGAGAAAGGAACCACACCCAGCTACCGCCTCCTTCTTTACCTGGATTGGAGGAGACCGTGTGTTTTGTTGGGTGCTAGCAGTGGTGGAATGTGCTGGGATTTTCTGTCTTGGTTTTTTGCTTTGGAAGTCGTGACCCCAACTGTGGCGACCCTTTGGTGTTGACCCCAGGCCACAGTGAGCCTTGTGCTGCCGTTTGTACTTCCTGTCTGCTCTGACTCTTCCATTCTCAGGGTCCGGAGAACATTTGCTGCAGCTGTATTTCCCCCTGTGGAAGCTGGATCGCCTATTCTACAGCTTCTAGGTTCTATCTCTATCGGATGAATTATGAAAATAACAGCGTGAGCATCAAAAGGGTAGGTAAGGGACAGCCCAGTGTTCTTGCCCCATGTCTCGGGCTCTCTCTTTGAAGCTCTCTCCGTGATGCAGCATACCCAGAATACTGTTTGATGGGCATCTGAGGCCTCGAGAAGGCCCTCAAGGCTCTCCTGATCTTCCCCGTCTTTATGGCATCGAGGAGTTGTTTTCATTGTCATCATCATCATCCCTTTGTGTGAAGTCTTGTCATGTTCCTCATTTTCTCATTTGTTCTTACAACTTCTCATGATACAAGTTGGGCCAGGAATATTATTACGAGAAGCCAAGTGAAACAGTGAGAAAAGCCCCCCTGGAGTCAGAGGGCCTGGGGCGAAGGTACTGTTGGGCGGAAGTGCTAGGCAAGCCCCTTACCTCCCTGGGCCTTGGCTGCTCCTCTGTACAAATGGGGCTTAGATGCCTGACACACAGTAGTTGCTTAATGAATGCTGTTTGCCTTGCTTTGACTCTTGAGTTCCATTTTAACTTAGTTCCCTAAATCCGTTCTGTATTTAGGATCCTGGCACTTAGTAGAATTACTGAATGCTATTTCGTTCATTCAGTTATGATCCAATGATTCCCATTCTGTCATAGGTGGTGATGTGCCCAAGGCCACTCTACAGTGGGGTTCCTAACGTTTCTATGTCATGGGCCCCTTTTGGGGGAAGCTTGTGGATTCCTCAGAGTAACATTTTTAAATGCACAAAATAAAATACATGGGATTACGAAGGAAACCAGTTCTATTTAAATACAGTCCTCAAAATATTTTTTAAAATTTCACAGATTCCGGGTTAATAACCCCTGGTCTACAAATGAATTGTGGAGCCAAGACTCATCCAGGTCTTCTAATTCTTAGGTGTAGTATTTGCTAAAAGAGTTGAAGAAGAACAAATATGAATGAGCACTTGGTATGTGCCTCCCCTCGGGGCAGGATGCATTGTGGAAATCCTAAAACCTTGGCTTTATTTGGCTGTGATAGAGTTTTTGTTTCAGAGTGATCTTTCAGATATGGACATTGTCCTAGAGAATGGACTGCTGACTCTTCTTTTTGCCCACTGTAAGGTTTCTAAAGTGCCCAAGTTCCTGAATTCTGCCCTCCAGATTTTGTTCTCTGCAGACTCCACAAAGTTGTTTGTGGCATCAAATCAAGGTTCTCTCCATGTGGTTCAGCTGTCAGAGGGGACCTTGAAACACCTGCACACCTTCCATCCCCAGTCAGGTGAGGATCCACCGTCATCCAGGATTCCTCCTGTTTCCCTTCCTCCCTGTCCCAGACATTGTGGGCCCCACCCTGCTCTACCCCCTAGACACACACCCAGATGGTTGCAGTTTAGAGAGGGAGGAGCTTTCTGCCAAGTGAAGACAGAGTCAGACAGATCCTGCGGGGTTCCCCCATCCACTGGCTTCTCATTGGGCTTTTTCTTCCATAATTCAGCCAGAGGAAAAGCTGAGTTGATACAGACCTCTTCCTTTGCATCTCTAGGAGGATTACTTGTTTTGTGTATTGTTTTTATTCCATAACTGGCACACTTATTAGCTAATTTAAGTCTGAGATGAGAAGCAGTGGCCTCTGTTGACATTCTGTGACTGCTTTCCATGGTGCTTTCCCCTGACACATGGTATGGCATCATCTCTGGCATTGTGAGGCTCTATCCTCCGGAAACCTACTCTCATTCTCCACCCACATTCTCCCTCACACACCTGACAGGACACGGTAATATATTGGTCTAAAGTTTAGACTCTGAGCACTGTCAGAACAGGGACAGGCAACAGGAGCCTGCTGTTTGTGGGGACAGAGGTAGGAATGGAGAAGTGCTCGAGGCATTGGCATTGTCCACCTGCCCAGCCCTGAGTGGAATCCCCTTCTGCTGCCATGCTTTAAACCATAGGCAGGTGTGACCACATGGACAATTTAGGGGTTGATTATCCAGTCTGTAGATGGATGAGATGCCTTGCTTTTCTTCCCAAGCTCCATGCTTTCTGTCCACACTCTGACTCAGGAGCTCTAGTGGGGACAACGAACCTATACCAGCCTCCCATGGCTTCCATTGAGCCAGGCAACAATATGAGGGCCAACCCTAGGCTGTGCCCAACAATGAAAATTCATTCTTCCTCCTGTCATTTGGAACCCACCAGTCACCAAACCTTTATCAACCCAACTGTATCTCTCACAATTCCCCAGCACCTCCTTTCCAATTTACTCAGCCCATGAATAATCTCTTTCTGGCTTCTAAATGGATTGTATATATTCATATCTTTATCAGCCAACAAGCAGTTACTATGAACCAGGCACTGGGCATACGAGAACGCATCATCCCCTGCCCTGGAGGAGCTTACGTTCCATTGGGGAACAGAGAGTCTGTGTATATGTGTTTACATATATGAGCGCAGTAAATACAAGGTGTGTTCAGAGTAAGGCATTAGTCAGAGGTAGGAGTCAGGAAAGACTGTGGAAGGTGATACCAGAGTTGTGAAGGAAAGAAAGGATTCTAAGCAGAGAGATGAGACATGGGGGGCAGCCAGGGAGAAGGGCTCGAGAGGGAGCATTGGGTGGGAGGAGTAGGAAGGAGGTCTGTTCTGCTGGCGGGGGAGGTGTGTGGTGCAAAGTAAAACGTAAGGAGGCCAGAAGGTCAGCGTGGGTCTCACCAGATTTTGAAGAAATCTGAACACCACGTTGGTGACTGTCAGCTACCTGCCGTGCACGCCCAGCACAAGTACACAAGTGAGATGGTCCTCACTCACAGGGAATGCACATTCTCATGGGGTGCCGGGGGTTGTGTAAGGAGAATGTATACAAAGTGGTTAATAGAAGCTAATTGAAGAGGGAAGGCCCTAGCAGTTGGGATTAGGAAGACATCCTAGAGTAGGTGGTCCTTGAGCTGAAGAAAGCGGGTCTGTGAGGTGGTGGCAGGAAGGGATTACAGCCCACATTGGGGCCCTCCAGTGTAGAGGGATGGGAAGAGGAAGCTTGTTGTGGTCCAGCTGAGCCAGACGTCAGGGCATGCAAAGTCCTGTGTGGTGCGCCTGGAGACACGGGTTGTGAAGAGTTGTGAAAGCTCCCCAGAGGCCAGGAGAGCCAGGACAGGGGTGACCCCATCAGCCTTGTACTTCAGTAAAAACCCCGGCCTGGGTTACTCCCTAAAAGTGCTATCCCTGCTCCTTCCTACCCTCCCCTGACCCAGCAGGGGCCTTCCTCAGTGAACTTTCTTCATAAACCAGCCACCCATCATTCCTCTCCCTAAAGTCCTAAAGCATTATGGAGGCTACATGGTTGGATACCTGACACTTGACATTATTGTCTAATTTACGTATGATCCGGTCTTCTGTTTCATTGTCGCAGACAGTGCTGAGTATGAAGTACACACTTTGTATTTATTGTATAAGGTTGAATAAAAGTACAGTTCAAGTGAGGTCCACTAGGTGGTGCCATAGTGGATAGAGCGCCAGACCTGGACAGGAAGACTTCTCTTCCTGAGTTGAAACCCAGCCTTAGAAACTTGCTAGCTCTATGATCCTGGGCAAGTCACTTCACCCTGCTTGCCTCAGTTTCCTCATCAGTTAAATGAGCTGAAGGAGGAAATGGCAAACCATTCCAATATCTCTGCCAAGAAAACCCCAGATGGGGTCACAAGGTGTCAGACAGGACTGAAATGAGTAAATAGCAACAGTTCAAGTCAGTTGAATTTATTACTTGTTTTCCACTCATTAAAAAAACCAAACATGATGGAAAAGGAGTTTAGAGAATTGGTGAAAATTATACATTTGCATTTTTATGACTTATGTACTTAGCAGTAGTGCACTTGACCTTGGCTCCCAGTTACCATTGCTTGGCAGCTTTGGCTCTGCCCTGGATAAGTCCGTTTCCCTTGTCTCACTCGGACAGTGTGAGAAGTGGACTGGCTCACTTTGAGGGTGTATTTGCAAAGTTAGCAGGAAATTAAATGTTCCCCAGGAATAAGTTTCAAGTCATTGTGGGAGCAGAGTTCACTGGGGAATTGAGAGATTCCATCAAGCTCTTCTCTTCTTGCAGGGACCCTGGAGGCCATGCCTCTGTTGGCAGTAAGCCCAGATGGGAATTGGTTGGCTGCAGCTGGCATGAGTAATGGAGTCAGTATCTATGATTTGAAGCATCTTAAGGTGGGTCCAAGGTTTTTTTTGTTTGTTTTGATCTAAGTCTAGGATTTCATTGGTGTAAGAGGCTCCTTGTACCAATGTAGATGGACAAGTGGGCTGCAACTTGGAAGCCTTTGATGGTTGGGCTGCCCAGGGTCACACAGCCAGTATTTGTCAGAAGTGAGACTTGAACACGGGTCTTCCTGATCGGGGCCAGCTCTATCCACAGCTCCTACATAGCCTCTGTGGTTCAGAATTTAGTAACAGTGCCAACCACATAGAAGCTTTTGTACTTGCAAGTTGGTGTGTCTGTATGTTGGTATGTAAAAGCTTACTATTCAGCCCCTTGACTGATGCCTTCATATATAGTCCCTGCCAGGGCTTCTAAAACTTTTCCACTCAAGACCCCTTTTCGAATTTCAGCAGCATTGGTTGGTGCTGTGTGGGTGTGGCAGCAAATGCAGTGCAGAGTGCACGCGCTTTGTGTTCAGAACTGAGGCTGCAGTGAAGTTGCAGATGCAGCATGGGCAAGCGCTGCCAGAAACACCTCAGAGTCATTACCTGTTTGATTTTCAATTAATTTGTGGTCATTGGGCTTTCAGAAACATTTTACTGTTGCCAAATTTTTTATGACCCCATATGGAGTCGTGACCGATAGTTTAAGAAGTGCTGGTCTGTGCATTGGAATCCAGAGAGTGATTTCAGAGCGGTAAGAATGCCAGGGAGTCACTGGGCCCACTGTCTTTTTCTCTGTCTCCTGCAGCCTCACGGCACAGTGCCTGCTTACAACTTCCCTGTGACTGCCCTGGCCATAGCACCCGACACCAACAACCTTGTGATCGCTCATGCAGACCAACAGGTAGGAGACTGAGGGACCTTTGCAAGGAGAGGAGACAGAGCTGGAAACCTTAGTGATAACAAGAGATGCTTTTCTCAGTCCTTGGAGAGAGTGGGGGCGGGACAGCACTGTTGTGTTAATTCGGCCAGGGCTGGGAGTGGTCACCATTAGTTACCCCAGCTGGCCAGACGCCTGGTGTCCTCGTGGATAATCCCAGTTTCACCATCCCGTCCCCAGATGATGGTGGCGTGTTAGACAAAATCCATTTTGCTTACGTCTTGTATGCTGTAGCCAGGCTTGGAGCGTTGCATCGATGAACGGGAGATAGGGTGGGATTTTTGAGACCATCTCAGCCTTTCTGTCACTTTGCTCTATCACTGCTTTGTCGACTGTTTTATAATTGATAAACAGAGACACAGAAAGGTTAAATGACTTACCTCGTGTCATAGAACTATTCAGTGGCAGAAGCAGTATCAGAAGTGTCACATAGGCAACCCTTTCTACTCTGTTGATCAGAGAATCATGAGAACTCTCTGGCCTGTACTGTATGTGGAACTCATTCTTATATGGCTAATGTTGGAGGTAGTCTCTGAAATGAGTACTTATTTATCTTAGTTGAATTTCTTACTAAGTGAAGCCAGAGCCCTTCTTGGCTTATCCTTACTCTGAGAACACAGGAAGGCTTTCTCTTTAGAGGTGATATGCCTATTCATCATATTTCCTTAGCATTGATTAAACCCTTTATTAAGTACTATGGCTTAGTGTCCATAATCAGAGCATCTTGGGAATTGCTGGTCAGACCCCCATGGCTTTTCTTTACTTTACATGGCTGTCTGAGTTCTTTATGGTTTGCACTTGAGATTGTGGAAGGCACAATCCTCTTTTCAGGACATTCTTTACGACAGTGGTAACTTTTATTCTCTTCTCGTGTTCTTTACTAGATCTTTGAGTTCAGCATCCCCCAGAAACAATACACAGATTGGAGCCGGAAAGTTCAGAAGCATGGACTTCACTACCTTTGGCTAGAAAGGGATACACCAATCACACACATCACTTTTCATCCCAAGAGGCCTACACATATCCTTCTTCATGACACCTACATGTTCTGCATCATTGATAAGTCCATGGTGAGTCCCTCACAGCCACCTGAGGTTCTCTCTTCTTTCAGGGTCTTCTTTACTAAACAGCTTTGGCTAACCTAAGAAAAGGGAGACAGAATGGGGTAGACTTTCCCAGATGCAATTGTACCTGACTTAAATACCCCATGGGGTCGTTGTGAATATTGTGGCAACCTTTAGATTGCTGTGAAGATGTGAGTTATTTTTTGCTGAACTTGCTGCTTAATGGGGCAGACCAGATTAGTGCTGCAGCGTTTAACTTCTTGGGAAATCTCAGTGCTCCACATGGCCTGAGATGACCCTGACTGACACTCTGCACTGCTAGAGTTTTGGCTGCTTGCATAGAGGTGCAAGCCCCCAGGCATTGTTAGTAAGAGTCAAATGACTGTAATAGCTGAACTAAATCCTCCTCAGAGAATGCTCTTTTGCATCACTGGGTTTTAGGTGGGATGTGCTGTTCTTCAGTCTTGGCCAACTGCTGCTTTGAATCGTCCCACTGCTGAATGCTTTTCTTGGGTAGGCACCTTCCCCACAGCCCTGTGTTCTACAAATAGCACTTACTTGTCATATGAGCTCAAAGCACATTATAACACACAGCAATGGTTTTGTTGTATCTGTGAACATGGGGGTGTGTGGAACATGGGGGAAGCAGATGGCTAAAAACAAGTTATTCACTACAGTTTGTGCAAGGAACCTGCCTCATCGGGCTGATGAGAGCTCTCCGTGTGGGAGAGCTGGCTGACAAGTGCCTTCAGAGAGATGAGTGATACAGGAAGGACTCCTCCCACCTGCTTGCCTCTTTGTAAGCGAGCCCAGAGAGCTGGTTCTAGGCCCCATCACTTCCATACACTGGACATAGCTATTTCCCAAAGAAGTGAGAGGGTGGAATTTCATTTGCTTGGCCCGAAAGCATCTCCCAGGGTGTCAGTGGCATGTTGTGGGGCCTAAACCTGCTAAGGCAAGGCTGATCTCAGGTGCAGCCTTCCTGGGCTGAGCTCCTGTAAATGCTGGCTTGTTTTCTCCCTGACAAAGTGTCATCCGCAAGGCTGACCTTTGGTCTGACTGGTGGGGTCAAGCACATTCTTCTTTACCTCAAGTCTTCACACGTGGCTTGTGCATGCCTGGGAAGAGGGGCCAGAACTCCTTTTTGATAGAAGCAGAAAATGAAAGTTGGGACGTTTAAATTCAGCATGGTTACAGGAAAATATTGGCATGCATGGCCTGGACAGGAAATAACAAGCAGAAACCCAAGAATATTGAAAGCTTTAAATGTGTTGCTTTTTTTCCCCCCCTTTTAGCCACTTCCAGATGACAAAACTCCCTTATTCAATCAGCTTTCCTTAAGGGAGGCATCTGAAAATGTCAGGAGGCGCCATGCCCATGCCTTCAAGATCTCTAAGAAGTTTCAGGTGAGATTATCTTCAGTGCTATTGACTTCAGGCTGGTGCTCTGATTCTTTGATGAACTCCATGTTACTCTTAGTGAAGAAAACAAAGATACGGTAGTCCAGGCAACAAAACCCCAATGCACTATTCAAAGGCGTTAGCGTTCAGGGTCATAGTGAATTTCAAATCCTAGGGCAGAAGGAACTTTCCAAGGTTATCTAGTCCATACCCCTCCTTTTAAACTATCTTGGAGAAGATCAGAAATCTATTTTTGACTTCTTTGTACCTAGGTGGTCTGTTTGATATTAAAAGCCCATGCTTCAGAGCCCTGAGTTAAAGAGTTTGCATCCAAAGGGCTTGAGAACCTTAATGAAGCCCTTTTATAGTTTGGGTTCTTGGGATAGAGGAAAGGAACCTTTTAGAGGTCCACAGTGAGCCAGTAGTAGGAAAAGGGAGTGAGGGCGTCAGGTATGTGCCCTTTCTGTTCTACCCTTGTGTGGGAGAGCTGGAGAGTTAACCAGACCCTGCCAAAGGAAGACAACACCCCTGCCTAGATTTTAATACAAATGCAGGGAGAGGCTGCTCAGCCATCATCCACATTTCTGCAAAAACTGAAAGAGAATGTCCCCCCCAAGGTAGTGTTTAAGCACCAGGAAGTTAAGAACTTCCCTTTAGCTCCGCCAAGGCTCATTACGGCTCCGGTCAGGTGTGTTTTCTTTCTGTGTTAAAATTTAATTTCCTCTAATATACATATTCTCTTGGGATCCTGGATTTGGGGGGGGGCGCAGGGCTTAGAGACTGTCTAGTTCCGTAATTTTACAGACAAGGCACTGAATCCCAGAAAGGTTCATTGCCTTTGCCAAAGTCCCATAGGTGTTAGAGCTGGGATGTAAGCCCAAGTCCTTTGAATTCACATTCAGCGCACTTTCCATAGCCCCCATCTTAGTTAATGTTTAGACTCTGTTTTATGCTTTGGGAGATAGGTTCAGAAGTTCTGATCAAGCTTAGCTTTTGAGAGTATACTGGTGTTGGCAAGGGAAAAGACTTTTATATAGTGCCTGTTAGGTGCTAGACACTGTGCTGAGCATTTTATAATATCTCATTTGACCCTGGGAGGAAGGTGCCATTACTGTCCTCACTTTACAGTTGCGAAACAGGCAGAGGTGAAGTGACTTGCCCCCGGTGGCACAGCTAGACATTGGATTTGAGCTCAGGACTTCCTGACTCCAGGCCCAGCTCTGTATCTGCTGTGCCACCAGCTGCTGCCACTCTAACGATCTGAGGCTGAGAAGCCATGTCCTGAAGCCCTCCGTTGATACTGGCTCATGGACATTTTAATATAATCAATCCCTCATGGGTAAATAATGTGCCCCAGAGCTACGTGTAAGTCTCTGTATTTTAGTACTAGGGTGAATTTTTTCAGTCCGAGGGCAAGTGCAGCTTTGAGAGCTGGTCTGGTTTGCCAAAGTAAGCAGGCCCCCTTCAGACTGGGCTGAGTGCTAGCGGGGTGGTGGTGGGAGCTTTCCAGTGGGTTCACTGTCCTCTCTCTGCCTTTCAGCCTCTCCTCTTCATGGACCTATTGGATGAAGGCACACTGGTGGCAGTGGAACGGCCTTTGGAAGACATCATTGCTCAACTTCCACCACCCATCAAAAGAAAGAAATTTGGAACTTAAGTGGAGTTGTGTGTTTCCTTCCCTGAACTGGCTGACTTGTTCTTTTCCTAGAAATCATGATAATAAAACAAAGTTATTCTTTAGGGCTCCACAACCATGAATGTTATTTGCCCTCATTTCTTAGCTGCCAGAAGACAGGGTGAAGACTTGCACCTGGAGCCCCACGTCATGACCGGTCAGTGTGCTCAAGTGCAGTGGAAACGAACCGAGCTCTCCAAGCAAGGTGTCTGTGGTCGTGATGAAGTACCAAAGAACCACAAGCCACCATCTTCCCTTCAGAAAACGGACGCCTCTGCTCTTAAATAAAGGCTGAGACCGCAGAGAGCTGACTCTCCTTCTGTCTCTGTTGATGCTCGGCTGCTCCATCATCAGAGTCCTGGTCCTTCTTTCTGCGCTCCGAATCCTTCCGTGGAAAGAGGTGCATTTGCCCATTGGTGCTCATTTAACACAGGCTAGAGCAACCCCAGAGGGGTGCATGTTTGGTTTCAGTTCAGTCGGAGTTTCACTTCTCAAATTGATAAGCGGTGCTTTTTCTGAAAATGAATGTTTCTGGCCTTCATACAGTCAACTGTTAACTTTCTAAATGGCAGCGAATGAACATTACTTTGGGAAGTCAGTTTTATGATTGTGCTTCCTCATTCATTTAGGGGGCAGAGTTTCAAAGGAACTTTGGACAGAGACCAAAAATTTGGGAGGAGGGGCAGGGAGAGGTAAGGAAGGAACAGAGGCCATATTTCAGTTCGTACTGCTCCTCTGCTCTACCTGGTCTGGCTTCTTATTTCCAGAATGCTGGTAACCTACTCACTTGAATTTATTATCTTAACTAGAAAGTGAATATTCCCTAGTAATTTTAATTGAGCAACTAGATTTCTGTTCTGTACCATGCCTGCTGAAAAGTGTGTGTGAAAGCTGTTCAGCGATGGGGGCCGGGAATGTGTGAGGTTTCTTGATGATGCCATTGGGTGGAGTAATGCTTAAAAAATTTTAGATGGTCACGCTTATGTGAAGCTTGCCCCCAGGGCTCTGTTCTGGAAAGAGAAAACACATTGACTAGCCTCGTTTGGGATGAAACTGAAAGTGGGATGGCTCTCTATCTAAGCCTAGTAGTACAAATCCTGAGGTTAGGAAAACATCGTCAGTTTGGGAAGAGCAAAGAGGTCCAGTGTTATTTGTTGTCAAGTATAATTAAATTCGTTCTTGTCCACATATTTTCCAGTGGTAGTTGTCTCCATTTAAATCTATTGGCTCTATGTTTCATGAAGAATAGCTTTTTTTTTTCTTTCTCTGTGTTGTTCAGTCATTTCAGTTGTGTCTGACTCTTTGTGACCCCATCTGGGGTTTTCTTGGCAGAGATACTGGAGTGGTTTCACATTTCCTTGTCCAGCTTATTTGACATATGAGAAAACTAAGGCAAAACAGGGTTAAGTAACTTGCCCAGGGTCACACAGTCAGTGTCTGAGGCCAGATTTGAACTCCAGTCTTCTTGACTCCCGGCCCTGCGCTCTTTCCACTGAGCCATCCAGCTGCCCTTTTCCTCTATATCTGGTTAATTTTCCATCACTGAATCTGGCAGTGTTTTCCCAACCTTTGGGCTGCGAAAGGAGGGGTTGGGTTCCCAGTCACTGGAGGTTCATCAAGCAAAAACTGAATGACCCCTCATCAGAGACATAGAAAGGGACAGATGTTGAGCCGTTATTCTGTGCCAAGGGCTGTACAGATATGATCTCATTTGAATTTGAAGGGGTTCCTATTCGGATGTGTCTCAGACCAGAGCATCCCTGAGGTGCCTTCCTGTGTCAGGAAGAGTAAACCTAGAAGGAAATGAGGCCTTGGAAGAGGCTTGCTCCAGCCCTGGGTTATGCATGTTTCCTATGTTATTTTGCATGATTGAAGCCTAAGTTCAGCATCACTAATGGGTATAGGATGTGACCGTATCCTGGGAAGAGAAGCAAATCCCCTATCAGTTCACCTGCTGCGTTGCTACAGAAAAGGACTTAGAATTTGATAACTGAAGTCTGGTTTGATTCTTGGCTGCCAAAACTCAGGCTCATTCTGAAAGTTATGAAGCATCTTCCTCTAGTTTAAAAGCTTTTCTTCACCTGTTCAGACAGTGGGTGGCTTCGACAAGGGTGATTTGGCCCTCTGGATTCAGAGGGAAAGAAGTGCAGGATGAATAGGCCTGTTAGCTGATGTGCTGCTGTAGCCAGGCTCTGCAAGCACGTGAGGCACTTTCCATTAGAAATAAGGAGGCAAGCAAGACGCAGCAGCTCTGGACCTTGAAATCCTTGCTTAAACAGATAATGGAATACAAAAGAAGCCTACAGAGTTTCTTAGGTGACCTGGAGGAAGCATAGATGAGCTGTTTGAGGGGAAACGCACACTTTTGTGGTTTGTCTAAAGCGTACTTTTGGTTTTTCATTTACTTTTATTTTCTCCTGCTTTTCAAATTGCTAGTTTTACCTGGTTGCAGAAGATAAGTCATTGAGATAAATAGGTGAGTCTCCAATTTCTTGGTACCTTCTGTTTTCTGACTTTAATATTTTGCAAGGCTGTCTTTTTTTCTTTGACTGTATTTTACGTGGTAGTTATCCTAGAATGATAAAATGTTGTTCAGACATTAGAATGTGAACTTGAGATTAGGGGTTACCTCAGATTTTCCCCAGTACTTAACATATATTAAAACCTTAATCAGATTCCATTCCTTCATTAATTCATACATTTCAGATCAAGGAGGCCTTTTAGAAACTGCCCCAGTATTAGTCAAACCAGAGTAGACCTAGAAATCACAGCCATGTGGACTAGCAGTGATTTTCAATTTGAAGGCTTATTGGGAGTGGTACTGATGAAAGGTTTTTAAATTCAATACCACAAGAAGAAGGTGCTTCCTAGAAACATTTATTGGCCCAGGAAAAGTATTTCAGGCACAGTCAGTCTGAGCATTTGAGTTTGGTACACAAGACACTGCACCATGGGCTTCTCCATTTTATCCTTAAAAAATACTTATTATTACAAACATTCAAATTTTAGTACATATTTTTAAAATATTTTTAGCACATAAATACTACACATAAGTACTGTATAGTTGGGAAACTACAAAGGGTCTAAGACAGTGATAGCTTGCTTGAGTAATGGTAAGTAGGAACAATTGGGTCCCATCTGGAAAAATTTCGTGGAAGGACTATGGACCAAAGGGAATTTCCAAGGATGGGAGGGGAAGAATGGTTTGGAGGAGAGCTGGGTAGAAGAGACAGATTGGTTTAAGAAGCCATAATATTGTGAGAAATGAAGATAGTTGGCTGAGTTAAAGGTCAACCGTGGGTGATTTTGGTGATTAAGTTTTAGTTGAACACAAGGCATTTGTGTTCGGGGTCTTTGTTCTGTTGGGAATCTTCAGGTTAAAAGAGAAGAGCTTTAACATAGTAAAATTCTCTTGTCTGTAGGAGAGGTGGTTGAGGAAGGAGGCTTGAAACTGAGAGAAACTAGCAAAGACTTTTGGAAGGAAGCAAGGAAACAATTATTAAGCATATAGTAATATGCCAGGCACTGTTACAAATATTTGATCTTCACATGAACCCTGGAATGTAGGTGATGTGATCATTTTACAGTTAAGGAGACTGAGGCAGAAGTTAAGTGTCGTCTAGGAAATACCTGAGGTTTGATTTGAACTTGAGTCTTCCTGACTTGACCCAGTGCTCTACTCACTGCACCATCTAGTTGCCTGTGTTGTTTTAGACTGTCAGCATCTTTTGATCTGTGGGTCTTAAACTCTTGGGGGTCTGTGGAGTTATTTTAAGGAATCTATAGCCAGTCATATCTGTTATCAAATTAATAAATGTGAATAGTACAACTAATATCTGGTGGTGGTGTTATCAAAAATATTTTGTGTTAAAAGGGAGTCTTCATATTTAAAAGTGTTGGGAGCCATTCAGCGTAGGTATAAGTCAGTTCAGATTTATTAAATGTTTACTGTGTCCCAGGCATTGCACTGAGCATTGGAGATACAAAGAAAGCGGGGGGGGGGGGGAAAGGTGCTCAGTCTAATGAGGGAGACAACACATAAACCATAAGTGTTGTCGTCTTTCAGTCATGTCCAACTCTTCGTGACCCCATTTGGGTTTTTCTTGCCACTTCCTTCTTCAGCTCATCTGACAGATGAGGAAAGGCAGATGGGGGGGGAGGAAGTGACTTGCTCAGGGTCTCACAGCTGGTAAGTGTATGGGGCCAGATTTGAACTCAGGAAGATGAGTCTTCCTGACTCTGGGCCTGGCGATCTATGGCGGCACCTAGCTGCCCCAAACAGCTATGTACAATTAAGATAAATTACAGGATAACTGGGGGTGGCTAGGCGATGACTCAGTGGATAGAGCACTGGGTCTGGAGTCAGGAAGACCTGAGTTCAACTCCAGCCTCAAAAACTTACTAGCTGTGTGACCCTGGGCAACTCACTTAACCTCTGCCTTAATCCACTAGAGAAAGAAATAGCAAACCACTCCAGTATCTCTGCCCAGAAAATACCATGGACAAGCATTGGTGATGAGGCTCAGCAGTAGCAGTGGCAGAAGAGAGAAGGGAGTGTATGTGAGAGATGTTTTGAATGAAAGTCCTTGGCAACAGATTGGCCATGGACAATAAGATAATGAGGAGCTGAGGATGACACCTAAGTTTGGAATCCTGAGTGACTGAGGATGGTGGTGCCCTCAACAGTAGTTGGAAAGTTAGGAAGGGAGTGGGAGACTGAGAGGAAAGATAGTGCATTCAGTTTTGGACATGCTGAATTGAAGATAATCCACTGGCCATGAGATGCCCCAAGGGCAGTTGGAGGTATGAGAATGGAAGTCAGCAAAAGTAGATCTGATAATCAGAGCCACTAATCAGAGCACAGTGGATAGAGTGCCGAGCCTGGAGTCAGGAACACTCATCTTCCTGAGTTCAAATTTGACCTCAGACTCTAGCTGTGTAACCCTGGGCAAGTCACTGAACCTTGTTTGCCTCAGTTTGCTCATCTGTCAAGTGAGCTGGAGAAGGAAATGGCAAACTACTCCAGTGTCTTTGCCAAGAAAACCCCAAATGGGGTCAAGAAGAGTTGGACACAACTGAAAAGACTGAACAACAACAACATTATCTGATAACCATGGATATAAAGATGATAATTGAGCCCAGGGGAGCTATGAGATCACCAAGTGAAGCAGTGGAGAGGGCTCAGGACTGAGCTTTACGGAACACCCATGGGGAATGGGTGTGACCTGGATGAAGATCCAATAAATGAGACAGAAGATGGGCAGTCCAGTAGAGTTATGTGAGAAGGTGAGGAAGATAAAGCCTTAACCAAGACTGGCTGTCCAACAGAACCTAACAATATTCCTGAAGGAGAATCAACAAGATTTGGTCTCAGACTGCATATGGGGAAGGAAGGAGTGAAGGAATTTGACTGTGATTCCAGGGCCCCAGATTTGGGAGACAGGAATGGGGGTTAATTTTTAATGTGATTTTAGGTCAGTGATCACAAAAGTCTCCTCATTTATCTTTCCTCCACTTATAGCATAGTGCATAGAGCACTTGACTTGGAGACTGGAGGACCTGAGTTTGAATCCTGCCTAAAATGCTTATTAGCTGTGTGACCCTGGGCAGGTCACTTAATCTCTCTGAACCTCAATTGCCTCATCTGTAAAATGGCAATGGTAATCCTCCCTGAGTTGTTTACAAACCTGAAAGCACCATTAGCTATTATTATTATTGTTGTTGCTGTTGTTAATATTTGGTCAATAGAAAAAGTCACAGTTCTACAAAGCTAACTGCAACCAGCTGTTTCTCATTAGAAATGTGGTAAGCAGATGTGGCTTTTCATGGTCATAATGTATGAGATAGTTAATTCATTTTTTCCCCCTTTGTGGGCTTCAGATAGACAATGATTTATTTAGATGGGGTGAATCAAAAATGTGCTTGCATCAGCTGAAGCAAAAAAGAAAAGTACCTTCTATAGGTTTATTCGGGGCGGCAGTACCTGTTTAGATGTACCCAGGAAAAGAAATCTTTTCAGGACATTTTCTGTCTCTGGTAAAGCTATAGTGCCAACAGTTGCAAGGGGTAACTAAGTTTCATTTTGTGTTACTGTAGTTTATCTTCTTCCTGAGCTGCAGTTTTTCTACATTGGCTGTTGCAGTGTTATCTCCTAAGCCATGTTTCCTCCTGTGGCATCTTTAGGAATGAT